AAGTCACCACCCAGAGGACTGTTACCCTGGAGGGAATGAGACATCCTATCACTGCCATATCCTGGGGTTGAGGATGTCAAAAAAAAAAAAAAAAAAGAAAAAAGAGAAAGAGGGTTTATGTCCTTTCCTTTTAGTCTCCTTATTGCAATGCCACCTCTTGGGCATTAAGTTGTGTCTTCTGACAGACAAGGTGGAGTGATCTCATACTACTGTTGAACCTAAAAGATTTGCACTTTCAGATTGTTTTTTCATTTTTTTTGTCTTCCAGATGGTATTCATTTTTGACAGTGTTGTTCATACCATTGCTGTTCTAACATCTGTCTTTCTGTGAGGAATTCAATCATGATCCCATCCAGTTTATTTTGATTGTCACCTTAGAATGTTATAAGATCTCTTTCTGCTTGGTTAAAAGGTTATTTATTTTTGTGCTATAACAGAAAATGTGGCACAAGACCAAAGTGGGGAATGGGAAAGAGGTCAGTCTTCTGTCTTAACTTCTAAACTTAGCTAGACACAAATGCTGACCCAATCATACTAACAATATTTCTTGCACCAAAACAACACATTCTTACTTACCTTTCTCACCACACCCACCATAATACCTCAATGACTCCATGAAAATACTAACTAGACCCATATGTACAATTTGTGGTCTGTGGGGGGGAGGGGAATAAAACAACAATTTAAAATTTTAAAAAGTAACCCCAATGAGTATTTACAGTATGAAACAAATAACTCAAAGTTGTAGATTTCCAAAAGCATATCTCTTAACCAGTAGTATCAACAAGATTAAATTTCTAAAATGAATCAAGTGGGATTAGTAGAATATTTTTAAAAAAAATTTTTTTTAATTTCATATGAAATTTGTTTTTGTTCTTTTTTTTTTTTTTTTTAACTCAGTTTGAAATAAATAACACCTGTTTTTTTTTTAATTTTTATCTTTGAAAATTTTAATGAAGACTGTCACCATTTGTCATTTTGTATATAAAGAATAAAGATCAATGTGTGATAAAGATATGTGGGCAAAATATCTCATCAGACACTGACTGACAATCACTGGCTTTCATTGCTTTAATCATGATCTACAAAAAAACTGTAGTGAATCACTGTCTGATTCATTGCAAGAATAAGAAAATCCAGGACAAATAAAATTCTCCTAAGATATCTTGTCAGTCAGTTTCAAGTGGTTAATTAAAGGCTGATTTTGTGGATAATTCTTGTGTCTTTTTCCTTCATTATGTTCAGGAGTTATTTATTTTACAACTAGGTTAAAAAAAATACTTCAGAAAGCAAGAATTCAAGAGAGAAAAAAATGAAGAAGAGTAACCTTTCTTTTTTTGGCCAACATAAATAAAATTGTTTAACTTTGCAAGTTGCATTTAAGAGAAAATAAGGGAAAAAAATCTGAATTGAATAAAGTATTCATGACAAAAAATAGTTCTTGTCTTGATTGTTTCTTTGTCTAAAACTCTTTCTAACAATCATATCTCCATTCCTTTTAATAAAATTTCTAAAAGGTCATTTAATGGAATATATTTAATGTAATTAATCTAATGAAATCTCTTGATTGTGACTATCACTGAAGAAAATATAATTTAATGCATAACACTTTAATGGGGGAGGTTCTAGAAATATTTTCAATTTGCATTTCCCCATTATTAGCAGGATCGGTGCTAGGGTCCCCCCTCCTCAACTTTGATATGAGGCCCCCTTGTAAAAAATATTCTACTAATCCCATGTGATTCATTTTTTTTAGAAATCTACATGTCAATTTCAAAATTTCCCCAGGCCACAAACCCTTGAAGGAAAATTGGGAGTGGGTGGGTGCTGGGTAAGTGCCCTTTTTAAATTACCAAAAATCAGTGAATTATCCAATTTAAATGGAAATTTCAGTACATATTCATTAATTATTTACTTTTGTAATAAATAGTTTTTTTTTTATTTTAAAAAATCTGAGAAAATGTTATTCCTTTTGTAACAACCACCAATATTTTCATGATTAAATTTTACTTGAAAAAAATGTTTAAGTCACAAATTTTTACATTTCCATAAGGATTAATTGCCAACACATCTCCACTGAAAAAAAAAAAAGTTTTTTTTTTTACAAAGATTTCAACACAACACAAATGAGATTGTCTTAAAAAACAGTATTTCAATTTTGGGGAAAATTTTTCATGTGTTGAAATCTTTAACATTTTTATTTTTTTAAGTGATCATTTTCTTGGTTTTATCTTTCTAGAAATGTAAAAAATAGGGTCTAGAAATTTTATTTTAATTACTAGCCATGGATTTCTGGTTAGTAGAAAAGAATACCAGGTGCTGTAAGCTTGGATGTGCAGGTGGTAAAATAGATGACAGCACAAAATTGGAAATTGGAGAACAGAGTTCCCATTCCAGTTAGGTTCATTATATTCACTTATGTGCAAATAGCTTTGGGAAAGGTATGAATCCACTTCTTCTTCTTCCCAGCTATGGGTTAATTAGTAGGACTTGTATCAGTAAATCCTTATTATCTCCAAGAAATTCTTACAATCTAAAAATATTTTCTGGCTTTAAATAACCTGCAAAAGGTTGATAAGCCATAAAAAACAAATCAATTAATCAATCAAAAAAAATACAGGTATACTGTTTTTGTAGTAATTACTCCCTAACTAACCTAATGCAATTTCATAATCTTATGAATTAAACTTAACTAAGTACTAAAGATTAAAGCTGGAATGGTCTACTTATGCACATATATTATCCCTTCTACTTTCTTCTTCTAATTTCAGCTCCCAGAACCAGCCAACATCTTCCTTGTGAATGCTGAAACTCTTCTGCTTTATGCTTTCTTTTTTTCTTCTTCTCTATCTAAGTTCAACTCCTGGCACCTGACAACATATTCCTTGTCAAAGCCAAATCCCTTCTCCCTGTCTGACAAATCAGAAAACTTAAATAGATTCAAATCAACTCTGACTTGAATCAGAAATTTGATAATATGAGGTTGCAACTTATATTCCCCATTGGTTAAAAAAATCACAAAATGTATCTCTTCAAGCGACACCCATTTGCAAACTTTATTTAGGCAGGTTTTGAAACCAAAAGACTTAAGCCTCTTTATTTATAAGTTTTTGAAAACAAAATTTTATACATATATCTTCTTTATAAACTCTCAGGTTTCATTTTGGCAGTATTTTTACAACATTAACTTGAACCTCACATATATAAAGTTTTACACATCAAATTTTAGTCAGGCTTCATTACAGCAGTTTCTTTTTATTTAAAGAATAAGTGTTAGGAACTGTTTTCTATTAATAAGATATTTTAAAACAATCACCTCAAAAGAAAGTGTAATAAAAAAAAACCTAGTCTATTGTATTATTTTTTTCTTTACTCCTTAATTATTTTTGTATAATTTTAGTTTTTTTTTATATAAACTTTTATAGGCTTGGCTGCAAATCATGAGCTGCTGTTAATGTTTTGTGTCCTTACAATGCCTTTCCTCAAACAGTAATGTAAAAGTTGTGTTTATGCTTTTCCAGAGGGCATTATTGCAAATGGGTCAATTTTTTTTTGTACCATAAATAGCCTCAGTTTGAATTCAAACTTGATTTGTCTATCACATTTTTTTTTCTTACATTTTAGCCTCTGTAGACAAGCCAGTTAAAGCATCAAGCATCTTGGATAATATGATACAAGTTCAAATCTTGTCTGCTGCTAATTCTTTCTTTGAATTTAATGTGGTTTATTTTAACGGTACCAGGTTGTTTGTCTTCGAATATTGTGACAAAAAAAATGACAAAAAAATGAAAGAAAAAAAACAAAAAACAAAAATAAATGAAAACCTTTCATCTGTTATGATGGGCCTTGCTTGACTCCTGTTTTTGATTAGTAAAATACAACATATAAAACAAAGTGAGACATTCATAATAAATAATCAGATGGATTTATTATCCTAAGGATTCTGTTGTACAAGTTCAGTGGAATAAGTAAATTCTTGTAATCTGATTATTAGTAGATTATTTCTGGTTTGATGTTTCGAGTCTTGGATTTTTTTGTATGCGCCTTATTCACTAGGGAGGCACGGTAGAGTAATGGATGGTGGCTTGGATTGAGGAATCGGAGAGCTGAGTTTGAAATCCAGTCGAATCCATTACATTCACTTACATGCTAATACCCTTGGGAAAAGTATGAATCCTCTTCTTCTCCCAGTTTTGGGTAAATAGCAGGATGGAAACTGATCTATCGCAGAAAGAAATGGCAAACTACTGCGGGGAAAAAATCTGCCTCTTCAGTCATGTATCGAAAGATATACATAATCACTGTAAGCGTGTATCACACATGGCACATAACTGATTGAATTATTCAATAAGAGAGGTGACGTTCTCTCTTCTTCCACTCTCTCCCCGAAAAAAAATAAAATAAGAAAAACATGAAAAGAATAAGACAAACAAAAAAATTATATTTATTTATGTGTAATAACACTACTAATTATTTTCCTAATAATCATTAAAATTTAGTTGCAATCTCTTAACATTGTTAATGTTTATTTTTAAATTTTTTGAGAGAAACTGATTGCTTGCTACTACAAAATATTCTTTCTTTCTTTTCTTAACTTTTTATTCCAGAATTTGTTAACTTCTCCCTATGACCCCTACCCCCAAAACGAAAGAAAACTTTTCAATAAAATACTTGTTTCTTATTTTAAGCAAGACTTATCAGCTGATGCGGAGTAATACACAAACAAGTGATGAGGTTATTCTTTGCGGGGTTAAATAGGTTAGAGTAAAAATATCAAGTAAATTAAAGCAAAATCTATATAACAATATTTAATCGTAATAATAATTTTTCTTTCTCTAGGTTCTTTTTGATGCGTAATAATAAATTTATTATCAATTTTTATCCGGAATGCATAATACAATTGCTAGCGGACTATATGCTTTTGCGTATCATTCGTTCTCCGTTTCATAAACGCGTGTGCAAGGAAAGGTATAAGTACTGAAACTACTTTTTTTCTGTAGGAATTTTGTGTATTTCTTTTCTCTTGCACAGTTTCTTTATTTCTGCTTTCATATCTCCATGTACACTTTATTGGCTGCTGTAACGAGAAGTTCGGCCACTGTCCAGGCAGGAGTCCGATGGCTTCAGAAAGATCTGGTCAGGTCCCTTTTTAAGGGTCACACTGTTAGGTCCACTGCAGCCCTTCCTCAACAAGAATTTCCTTCGGTTAACAATAACATACCTTCATCCTCGTCAACTAATGTCAGCCCACAAAAACCAGATACGGAAGGGGAATCTTTCAAGCCTTTCGTCAAAAACCTGTTCCTTGGACAATTTGACAAAGTAAGGTTGCTTAAATGTTTAACTTAAAATGTTTGTTTATTATACTGTGTGTGTACACACAACATGTTTCGTTTCTAAAAGAAAGGTCATTAATTCGAACAACGAACTTTTTTTTTGTATTAAAAAATAAATATTTTTTGTCTGTGGTTATTATTAAATATTCTGCGTTGTTGACATTTTCTTAATTATCGTGGATGTCTGTTATGAATTTGTTAAAAATACTACGATCGCATCGATCACTTTCAATTCGTAGGAAGTGAAATATATCTTCATTCTTTACCGGACATGTGAGTTGGGGAAAATAAAGTCTTTCTTTTTAGTTTTTATTCTCTACCAGAAAAAAAATTACAACGTATGGATTAGTAAAATGTGTTTTCTTTTGCGATGTAAGATTTAAGAGAAAGAAAAAAAAAAAAAAAAAAAAATCGCCCACGTTTTTATGTGGACGACATAAATTAGAAAAGAAAACTATATATATTTTTTTCAATTTCATTCAAATCCGCATCCCCCCCCCCAAGTTACTTAAAAACGAAAAAGTTAACAGCGATAAAAAATAAAATTAAAAAAAATAACCTGATTTTTATAAAATCGAGTCCGTACTTTTTCTTTTTCTTTTTTATTAAAAAAAAAAAAACAACGAACAAAAAATTTTTTTGAATGTTGTCATAAAACCTGAGAAAGCAACAACAAAAAAATTCAGTCCATGCTGGTTGCTGGGTTGATTCTCATTGAGGAATGTCGTCTTGAATGAAGTGCAGTAAATTATGATGTTTTTAACAATTTAAACATTCAAATGTTCTTTACTTTATTTTAGTCTTACTCTTTGTGTGTGTTTGTGTAATTAACCTCTTTTTTTTTTTTTTCTAATTTATTTGTTTACGTAAAAACACTAACTAAAAATAACTTGAACTACTTGATACCAAGATAAACTACAGTACTACACAATTATTTATTTATTTATTTTTTAATCGACTATTTTCTAAATTTAGGAAGATTTATTTTTGATTAATCGTCGCTTAAGATTTTCGCTGGTTGCTATATGTCAGTATTTTATCTACTTTGTTTTGTATTTCCTATTTTCTCTTAGTTTTTTTTAATTAACGAATTATAATTAAGTTAAGAAAAAAAAGTATTTTTTTTTTACCTACACCTCTATCAAATATTGCTGGAAACAATTTTTTTAAAAATAAAATTTAAGAGTAAAAAAAAAAAATCTTTTAAAAAAAATACATGTATTCAATACATCGTAATTTGTAGTTAGTTACTAGTTACAATACATGTTTTTTCTTTTTTGTTTACAACATTCATTATGTGTATGTAAACAAATCATCACCTTGAAAGACCATAAATTTAAAATTTATTTTATATAACGAAGATAGACGGAAATTTTAAAAAGTTAATTTCACTTGTTTATTCTGGCGTTTTGTTTGTTTCTGGCTCTACTCATATTTTTTTTTTTTGTTTATTATACTTTGACGGAATTCTAGTAACTTCTTTTTAAATAAAAAATGCTCTGTGATTCCAACGGAAGGTTTTAAAAAGAAATTTATCATAACCACACTGCGCAGAAGAATTATCTCTTTTTTTTTTTAAATTAAGTTTTACATTAGTTTTTATTATTATTATTAATCTCAAATGAAAATCTCTGTTAAATTTCTGTTTCTTCAGTAACAGAAATGGATGTCTTATCATCGAAAGAGACTTTGGTACAAGTTGAGTGCTGTGGTCCTATCTGGAATGTGACATAAATAAATGGAAACCAAACCTACAAAGAATTCACAGCAACAGCCGCTCTTTCAAGAGAATAAACTAAAAAGTTATTTAATTATTAAGTTAATAATTTATTAACCAATTACGTTAACAGACAAGTCATAAAACGTTGCTTTATAAAACAACCAGTAATGCAAAGAGTCAAATGCGAGGTAATAAAAGAGTTAAAACTTAAAATTAAAAATCTATCAAATGGGAACACAATTGCCTGACAGCGACGCTGTGAATTTTTCGCATTTTTTCGTGACGTAATGCACATCTCAGCATGGACCATAGTATTTGATTTATTTTAACAACTTGATTCCCTGTGATTGTGCCTGTACAGAATTGATTCTTTGTATGTCACACTGTATTTGACTTTTCATGTGTACATGCAATGTGTATGCGTGTGCACACAAGCACGTGTGCATACACACATAATTTGTCTGTGTCTGAAATTGGAAATTGTAATAATAATAATACAATCCCATTCCACTCAGTCTGGACAACCCTTATCTTGGGCTGAGAAATAAATCAAAATTGGAAACTAAGAAAAAAATATTAATTTTATTTTTCAAAGCCTAAAAAATCAGATAATTATAAGATTTTATTTTTCAATAATTTGGTTATGGAATTATTTTTAAAGGTTCTTTAGAATAATGCAGAAATAATTTTAGGTCTGTCATTGAATTAAAATAACACAATTTGAAATAAATATCTGTGTTGTGAGGGCTAATTTCCTTTTCTGTCTGGCAACAATGCTTGGGTGACAGGAAAAAAGAGTATGAAGCTGAAATATGGCCATTTAGTCATTTTTATGGTGCCTTTTTTGTACTTAAACTGAATATATTTTGTAATAAATGTAGTATTTCAAATGGTCAAACAATTTGAAAATAGATCATCTTGCCATCAAAGTGACAAATACTGAACCAATATATTATTAAAAAAATTGGAATCAAATTTGTATAAAAACTAAAGAAGTAAATTGCAATATTTTCTTTATTTTATTTCTAGAATTTGTTTACAAGGAGTATTTTCCTTTTGTCTATATGTCATTGAGAACAGATAAGTATAAACAAAAGGTGGGGTAGTAGTTAATATCTCTTCCTGCCATGCTGATACTATTTATATATTATAATCTACTAACATTTAATATAAAGATGAATCTAATTTAGAATGCACTTTGATGTGTTGTAAAGTATGTTAGTAATGCCATCAAATGAGGGGACAAAGGTTAGGGGACAGATCTTGGTGAATTCTTGACACATTGTCAGGAATGCACCAAATAGTATAAAAATATAGTTGACTAGCAACTGATGTGGTGGAGAGGGGAGGAGGAAGACTTGACCCTGGCCATATAGCAGAAGATAGGAACATGCCTTAAAAGAGAAAATGGAAACATTCATCTTAAAATAAATAAAATTGATGTAACCTGGAGCACCTCTCTGCTTTTATTTTTTAGTTTTCATTTTCTAAATAAAGTGGAATACAATGTTTTCAGGTTCATAAGTTGATTTACTTTCTGCTTGAGAAAGAAGTACCAAGTTAGAGAAAAATTAATAAAAGCAAAATTATTTTTTCATTCTCTTTACACACAATTTATCTTAGAGCAAAATAATTGAAAAATTATTTTTCTTTTCCCATGTGAATGTTTTACCAAATGCTACAATCTTCAAGTCAAAGGTCAATTATTACCTATTCTTGAAATCATCATTTTATACTCTTACATTCCCTCTACCTGGAGTGGCTCTAGGGCCTTATTGAGTGAACATTAGTGAAAAAAAATACAAACAATGAATGTCTAATGATAATTTGTACTCCAGCATATTTTTGTGATGTCAACAAACACTCAATGCCACTTTTGTAATGCCAATGAATACTCATCGCTTTCGTAATGCTTGTTGCAGTAGAGACTTTGTAATTTCAGATATAACTATAGTATGCCATTGAACAATACTGATGTCAGATGCCTTTGAATAGCACTCACACTAATAGTACTTGTTCGATAATACTCGCTAGGAAAGTAACCACTGTATAGTGATCAGTATAGTGAAACAGTATAGTGAATAGAGTGGAGAATAGTGAAACAGTATAGTGAATAGAGTGGAGAATAGTGAAACAGTATAGTGAATAGAGTGGAGAATAGTGATCTGTATAGTGAATAGAGTGGAGAATAGTGATCTGTATAGTGAATAGAGTGGAGAATAGTGATCTGTATAGTGAATGTGGAGAATAGTGATCTGTAATAATAGAGTGGAGAATAGTGATCTGTATAGTGAATAGAGTGGAGAATAGTGATCTGTATAGTGAATAGAGTGGAGAATAGTGATCTGTATAGTGAATAGAGTGGAGAATAGTGATCTGTATAGTGAATAGAGTGGAGAATAGTGATCTGTATAGTGATAGACGATTTTGTTTGTAAAATGTGTGGAGGGTAAAAATTAGTTCATTTGCCAGATCAAAATATAATTTGTATCTTATCAAGAATGGAATGTGTTTTGTCATAAGTGGATAACATGGTGAATAAATGGGACATTTCAATCACCAATGGATAAAAGTTTGTGTTGAAAGAGGATAAAAAAAAAACAGTTGCAGAGAAAAATAAGTACTTCAGTTTGTGTATATTCAGTTGCATATGCTTTCTTGGCCTGTATTTATTGTTTTAGCCTCTCATGGGTCATGAGAGAACTGGACAATTTCTGGATAGCACTCCATGTTTACTGTAGCCTTGCATCAAAAATACTGTCATGGGTAAGGTGGGTAAATAGCCTACCTACACATTTTGCTTGTATTTGTATATATTTTTTTAAACATAGTAATACAAATAAAAAAATGTCTGAAAATTATGAGAATTTAGTGTAAGTCAGCAGAACTTTCGCCAAAAAGCATTCAATAACTATATTCAGTCAATCAATAGAAGTTACAATAAACATCTCATTGACTGATTCCAAAATTTCATGTCTATAATATCAAATAATTAAATAAATAAATCAAATTTATAATTAATTAAATGATTTAAAATAACCAGTAAGTTTTAATATAACAAATTATGTGAACATTGGGAAATTTACAATAATAATCATATATATATATATATATATATATATATATATATATATATATATATATATATTATAAGCATGTTTTATTGAATATTATCAACATATTGTATCTACTTATTTTTTATATTTTTATGCTGATCCTTTCCAGTTGTCTAATCAATTTCTTGATGTTAAGATAAAATTCATCAAAAGGAAGGTGCTATAGTTTTTTTTTTTTTTTTTTTTTTTTACCCAATTACTCTCAATCTTTTCCAAGATCATTTTCAGGGGTAAATTATGAAGACAAACTTATTCTAACTGCAATAAAATCTACATTTTGTTGTGATGGTGATTTTTTTTTTTTTTTTTTTTAAAAAAACATGTGCAAATGTGCTTTGTTATATTGGGTAAAAAAAAACAAAAAAAAACTATGGCGTAATTTTACGTAATCCTGTGAAGTTTTGTTGAAATCGGTTGGAAAATGTAGGAAATCTGATCCAATATATAAACTTACAGACACACACACACACACACACAATCTGCATTTTATCATAAGTAAGATAAGATGCTTCAATAAGTGAGGAGCCTGATGATGAAAATATTTATTTTTCTCTTTTCTTGTCAAGGCACTTAATATGGTGGTGAATATTAATCATATTGCTCAAACATTTGAAGTAAGAAATTTAAGATAAAAATTCAGCTAACATTCTTTAGTCTTATTAGTCCATCTTTATATTTTAAGAAGTTGAATATCTGTCATGGTTCTTAGTTTTAACTGCAAAAAAATCTAAGTAAATACAAAGTATGAAGTTTATTTTTTTTATTATAATATAAAATTGTTTCTTAATGACACAAGCTTTATTTTCTATACAAATCTTTTGTTTGGAGAAATCTTTATTTTTTAAATTTTCTAATAAAGAAATAAAATTGATAGAAACAAAGAAAATATAATCTTTCACGCATGATTTTTTTTTCTTTGTTCTTTTTTTAATATAAGCAAATGTACTCAAATTTGACAAAATTTTAAGTAACTTTACAACAGATGTCAATGTGGTTTAAGCAAGTAAAACAAAAAGAAAAACGTGAAATTAAACAAAGAATGACTAAATACATTATTTTATCCTGTATTCAAAAATTGTTACATCGAAGTGTCATACTATTCTATTAGACCCAAGCATAAAAAATTTAAGCAACTTGGGTACAGGTCAAAATCCTAAGTTGCTTATTAGAAAAAAAATTACTTAATTAAAATTATGATCATATTATTCCAGAAACTATTTAGATTATTCTCACTTTTTGTTTTTATCCCTGTTTTGGCTGATGGATTATTTAAACTTTATATATACATTGCAGTTGGTAATTTTTTCATTGTTGTTCAGTTTTGTAAGTTTTTTTTTGTTTTTTATGTGTGCTTATTTCTCTTGGACTAAAGGCATGAACTCCAATTTCTCTACTCACTATATTGTTACTTGTTCTCTGGATCATACTTTTCTTACAAGTTCATTATTATCATTGTCTTATACTATTTGAGTTTTGGTATTCGTAAAATTTTATAAAATCAAATTGATTGTAACCAATCTGTCATGAAAATGTCAGGCTATTAATTTAAGCAAACTTTAGATATTAATTCATCAGATAATATTTGTAGTTTTGGAATAATAATTTTAAGTTAATTTTTCTTCATTTTTAAAACTTCAGATTCCTTTTTACAGTAAATGTGTTTTTGAAGTTTAGTTGAAGGAGTTTTGACTGGTCTACAAGTATAAGAAGCAAAAAAAAAAAAAAAAAAAAAAAAAAAAAAAAGGCTGCATAACAACAAGGCTTCTGCAGCTGAAGGGGGGCATTTAAGAGCATGAGATTTAAGACTCTAAGTTGTAACCCCAGGATTGTCCCCCCATTGGACAATAACCTATTAAAGCATTGCTTTCAGGTCTGCATACCACAAACTAGAAATAACTGAGCTGTACTAAAAAAAACAAAAAAACAATATGAGATATCCCTAGACATAGACAGTTGAACAAGAACAATATATCTCTACAGATTAAGTAAAGGGTTCAGTTTGAAAAATTCCCTGAAGGTTACTTAGATTGATAAGCATCTGGAGAGTACACTGGCCAAAATATTGGGATAATAACAATGAAGATGTCAACATTAGTTCACATGTAAATAACTCCTAGAAATTCAGACTAGTAGGAAAAAAAAATTATTAGATTGCAGTGTAGTATTTTATCACATTCTTAATACTTTGCTATGAAATGCAACATTTTACTATATTTGATGTCATTTAAAATTCAACCCTTTTACAATTTAATATTACATTATTATACAGTTAGGTGAGGCACAAGTACTGATAGTCTAACTTGCATGTAAGGCATGAGATATTTTTTTTTAATTTTAATTTTTTTATGGTCTTGCATGCCATTAAATACAGTAGTATGTAATTAAAAAAAAGTTCTAATAGATGTTACTGCTCTATAAAGCAGTCATTTTACACAGCTTCATATCATAAATCTAAGTTCTAAAGCTCTTCAAAATGTAGCAGTTTAACACAATGTTATCTGTTTTTTGAAACTTTTCTATAGAGAACTGCAAATTTTCTTTTGAATCCATGATAACTTTATAGAGATAAGTTTAATTTCCATGTTTATTGATCAGCTTCAAATATATTCTTTGTTAACCACGGTTTTTATTTTAGTAAAAAAAAATGTTTTCTTTGTCTTTAGTCCATGCTGGTCTATCCTGAAATTTCTGACAATGAAGAACTTGAAGAACTCACTCAAATGTTTGAACAAGTGGAAAAATTCTTCTTGGAAGAAGGTAAAAAAAATGTTGAATAGCTAATTTAATGCAAAAATTTAATTTTTTAGATGAGTCATTTTCATTGCTTAATTCTGATTAGTTTTTGTTTCCATATTTATTGTTGCATTTTTTATGATAATGAATTTTCTTTTTTACATTCTACAAATTTAAAGTTGGATAGTGGAAAATGATTTAAGGAGAATATGGTGTAGGTTCTCTGTAGCCAAATTATTTAGGCCCTGCTCATATCAGACAGGCCCAAAAGATATGTGATTAGTGAACATCTTGTTACTACTTTTTATTTTCTTATAGAATGTAAAAACAACTTGTCAAATTAGTGACAAATTACAAACACAATTTGTTAATTCATAAATTTAAAAATTTAAAGATATTTAAGAGGCAGATTTTTAAAATTTTTTTTAAGACATCTTTATTGGTCTGCTTGTCTCGTGTAAATGTACAGAATAGCACATTTTTTTTTTTTTTTTTTTTTTTTTTTTTCAACATTAAATTATAAATATTAACCTGGAAATGTAATATTGATTAATTGAATTGAGAAAAAGATTTTTGTATGCCTTGGGAGAGACAACAGAATTTTGAACAGCAATTTAGGTTTTGTTAAATTTTTATTGTTCAGAAAAAATGGTCAGTGTAAAGAATATTGTTGTGAATTAAGTCACTTTGAATAACTGAATGTAAGACTGCTGATGTCATGGGTACTAACTCTGCTTCAATTATGTCCACATTGTCATTAATGAATTAAAGAGTTACTGTGCCTCTGCCCTCTGCCCTCATTGTAGATAGGTGCTGACTAAAAACAACCCAATTCAAAGCTGAGAGCTTTAAAATACAACTTGGAGAGATATAAACAAATATTAAATTGCTTTTTTTTATGTATCAAAAATCATTCTAGCATGAAAAAGAACAATTAAAGTTAGATTTTTTAAGATAAAAGGAAGTGGAAAAAAAATTCTGAGTTTCCTTATATTTATTGCTTTTGAGGTTGAAAACTTGTTAATAAAAAGAAATATACTTGTATTTTTATTTTAATCATTTTTAAAATAAATTTTAAATTTAATTTTAGTTGATTCCAAAAAGATTGATGAAGAAGCCTGTATTCCTGAAGAAACTCTCAGAATGATTGGTGAAATGGGACTGTTTGGGCAGCAGGTACCACCAGAATATGGTAAGGGTTAAATGATGAATATCAGTTCATTTTTATATCCTGAATGTTCATTGGGCTGTGCTGGGAGTGTGACAGTGTGTAGTAGAATTGGCAAGCTGAGTTTAAATTCCCACCTAGTATTGCATTCACTTTCACACAAATACTTTTTGAAAAGGCATTAATCCATCCCTATTCCTGTCAGTGTTAGTTAAGTAGCTGAGTAGATTGGTTAACTTTGTGTGACAATAAGAAACAATTCCACCATCTTTCCCAGACAGTTTATTTGCAGATAGTAAAGAGACAGAATCTGTGGAGAGCCAAGTTTGTCTATGTCCTGAAGGAACATACCCCTCAAAAAAAAAAAAACTGCTATCTTTTAGTCATTGTGTTTTAAATATTTGACTTTTTCTTTCAGGGGGTCTAGGACTGAATGCTACAAAATTTGCTCGATTAGCTGAAGCTACAGCTTTAGATGGTTCAATTGCTGTCACATTAGCTGCACACCACTCCATTGGACTTAAGGTAACAATTTTTCTTTTAATACTATGGCTTTGTTGTATACTGGACAGGTGTGTGTGTGTGTGTGTGTGTGTGTGTGGTTTTTTTTTTTTTTTATCTTAATGAATGAATAGATAACAGTGATAGAGATAGGAAGTTGTGCAGAGTCATTATTACCTTCGCCTTGATGGTCCATAGAATATGTCTAGCATTGCCTGTATAATGAATATAACACCAAATAACAAATGGTAGTTAATTTTTATTTTTTTTTATCAGTATAAATTAAGTATAAATGAAATAGCTCATAATAAAACAAATTCATATTTATTATTGCAGAAGTTCTTTTGTGGATAAGCTCCTTTTAATAGATAGAATATTTGACCAAGAAAGTTATAACACTATATTTTCTTGTGTATAATACAAAAAATTTTAAATGAAAATTAAAGGCAGAAAAGTACACATTTTTAGAAATTTTCACTTGGCTTAAAAACCTGTTATTTGAAAGAGGAAGATTGCAAATACACTCAGCACAACAGATAATAAAACACAAAGTAGGCAGGTGTTGATAACAATTGTTTACAAAAGGTATTTGATATATTGGCAATATTTGTTCTTTGGAAATCAGTGTAATTGAACATCTTCTGTCTTATAGACAGGAAATTCATTAAAATAGATTTAAAAATTTTAATAAAGAGAATATAAAAGATTTGTCATTTTAGTAACATTAATGTTATAACAAAGCACTTTTCCTTGAAAATTCAAATACGAAAATAAGTTTTTAAACATAAATTAAGAAGAAACTCATAATGGCTGAACATCCGGGTCATTTCTGTTCCTTAATATTGTGAAAAATTAAATATTTTAATGGATAAGATAGTACAACTTTTAAAAAAAAATTTACATATTTATTTATTTATTTTTTTTATGGGGTTGTATTATCGTATTATATTCAAAGATGTAATTTATTCCTTGTTTTTAGCTTCAGAAACACGGTGACATTATACTCAAGTCATATTGTTCATAAGAAAATACAGTAAGCACAACAAGATGATTAAAATTTTCAAAAATTAATAATGTAATACTTCATTTCATAATTACATGACTAAAGTAGTTCAGCTTTTTTTTAAATAACTAATATAAATTAGTATGACAAAACTTATAGAGGGGAAAATAAATTTCTTATTAAAATTATCCAGAAAGGTCAAAAGAGCAGTGAGGAAAAATGTTTAAGTTTCAAGTAGTTAAAGAAACATTTGTTGTCTTATGGTAATTGTTTTTTGAATTTTTTCTTGCATTGATGAAGCAGATGATTAAATAGATATATTCACAAATTGCTGTTTCTTTTTCATTTAGGAAGAAATGTAGAATATCATAGTTAAAGATTACTAGAACCTGAGTTTTCAAAATTGTAAATTTTTAATTTTTTAAAAAGTTTTTATAGACACATGTTTAGAACAGTTGATTTTCAATTTCAGGGAATTTTATTATATGGAACTGAAGAACAAAAACTAAAATATCTTCCCAGACTTGCAAGTGGAGAACAATTGGCTGCATTTTGCCTTACAGAGCCATCCAGGTACACAGTCATTGTTTCTTAATATTTTGTTGGAGAGTACAAGAAGTCTTTATTGGAAAAACAGGGTAACTTATTTTTTTTCATGTATGTTCATTATATTTCATGATGGAAATAAACAAGTTGCTTTTAAGTTGTGGGTGGGTAGTAGTGTTGGAAGTAAATATACTCTATTTTTGCAAGAAATCTTGTTTTCATTATTAAAATATATTATTGATTTGATAGTCATGCACAAAATATAATAAACTGCATGTGAAATGGTCAATGAACTCCTGTAATCATGGTTTGGCTTCACAAAACGAAGATCAAGAGGGAGTCTGTACACGTCAATTGAAGGCATGTTTATGACTGATAAATCCAATGCGGGACAGGCGTACATGGTTGCAGCAATTGCAGCTGAAAGTTCGGCCTGAGCTCAATGACATAGCATTGCAGTACTTCCTCCTCTGCTTCTGAGTGTTCACTACCTTCATATAAACTTCTTTTCATTCTCGAAATTTTCTAAGTTTGCATTTCAAGATATGATGTAGGGGTAGTGCAAAAGCTATCAGTGTAGCCAGTGGAATTTGTGAGCTGAGCCAAATTTATGCCTAATCTGTTGTGTTCATTTTGCACAAGTTCCCTTGGTAAGGGAATGAGTCCATCTTCTCTCCCTCTAGCTATGGGTTAAATAGCATAGTAGGCTCTCTAACTTGGGGTAGCAGTCAGTCCAAGAAGAAAAACTGAATTCCAAACTGTGGAAAAAGCAATAGAAAACTACCCCACTATCTTTCACAGAAGTCATGGCAATTCCAATAAGAAAAGGAATCTGTGGAGAGCCATGATTGCCTACATCATGAAATGGTATGGCATTAAAAAAAAAAAAAAAATAGAAAAAATTAATTCCATTCATAGTCTTCTGAAGGTAATGTTAACAAACATTAAAATATTAACAAAATCACTCATGACTCTTATCATATATAAAAGCATGTTTTGGAGTTAATCTTTTTACTAGCAGTATAACCTGTCTTCAACTGGGTGTTTCATTACTGGGGAATTTTTTCCATTCAGTTAAAGCAGTTTAAGTTTAAAGTCAACCCACCCAAAAATCAATATTAGTAACAACAATTGGGTGCAACTGAGGCACATCCTCAAATGGGGGTTAACAATTTGGAAGGGGGGGGTCCTGGAAAGGGCTGTTTTTGCGTTCTCAATCTTGCAAGGAAGGAACCTTTTCCATGGACCATCATCATAATAATAATATATATAATATATATATAATAATATATATAATATTATATTTATATATTTATATTTTATTTATAATATATTTGTTTTTATAATTCTAATCTTTTGGATTAGATTTCAACTCTCTAAATTGTATGCTTTTTTTTTTTTTTTTTCACCTTCAAGCTTTTAATTTTTTCCAACCAATTTGGACTCAAAACCGCCTCTGAAGAATTATTTATCAAACAAAAAAATTTCATCGAAATTGGATGAAAACTGTGGAAATGCATAAACAACACCTGATCTCACACACATACATATGCACACACATTATGAGAATTATGGATATAAGATAACTTAAAATTTGTTTTAGGTCTCAGACCTCACTGATTACTAAAGTCATATCTTGATAATGTGAGTAGAAAGATTGATCAGTAAGCCATTTGTCCAGTTAGCCTTTTATATGTTATAAATTCTGTCAGTAACACTTATGAATTCTTGACCACTGACAATTCCTTTTTCCTAAATTTTAATACATAACACAGATTGACTACCAAAAAACATTTTAAGTCAAAAATAACAAAATTCAGTTTTAATTATCAATATTTAGTTTTTTAGTGCAGAAACTAAAACTAGCCAGGTTAGCTTTGCTTACATATATTAGGTTCACCATTGCCAGAATTCTTGTTTTGCTATATATGCAATGTTTAAAGAGAATGAGAATTTTGATTTATTTTTTTGCACCTCTTACCTATGATATTATGAGTTACATAAACAGTGAGGGTTTCAAATATCTTTTTTTTTCCATGATAAACTTTGTGAATGTTCCAGAAAAAAAAAAATTCTAATTTTCTCTTAGTGGAAGTGACGCAGCATCCATTCAAACCAGAGCAACACTGTCAGAAGATGGAAAATCATATTACCTGAATGGAAACAAAATTTGGATTTCAAATGGGGGTCTGGCTGAAGTCTTTACTGTTTTTGCCAGGACTGACATCATAAACAGCAAGGTTGGTTTGGCATTTTATTTATATATATATATTTATATATATACGCACACCATTGTTGAGATGATATTTTGCGTTCTAATATATTGGACTAAACTTTCAAACAAAATATAACAACACTTCTAAAATGATGCTCTGTTTAAAATCTGTTTTTTCTTTCCTTCACTTTACTTTTTCACAACCCTGAAGATAACTCTTGTGGGTTGAAAGTTTGGACATAAGAATAAATTTGGGATAATTTTTTTTTGATATCTACAACAATCACATTTGTGAAATGTTATTTGCATTTTGGTGGAAATGATTAATAAATTTAATAAATCTAAGATGCCTATTCTTTTTAATAAGGTTTGTTTGGAAGAACAATTGTTGCTACAATATACACCTTTTCTTTTCTTTTCTTTTCTTTTTTTTTTCTTTTCTTTTTTCTTTTCTTTTCTTTTCTTTTCTTTTCTTTTTTTTAAAGCCTGGTTTTTGTCATGTTTCGTCTTAACTATTTCGGATTAGCTAACAAAGATACCTTGCAATGAATTGAGTGATTCAAAACAATTTCTACATACTAGTGAAGGCAGAGAAAACTGATTGTCTTGGAGCTGCTGACAAGATATTTTGCTAATATAAAGTCACACAAGAATATCTTGATCTCAAGTGCTTATTATTAAGTTATTAAGCATGTTTTATTTTCTCTAGCACAAATTTCACTTGTTTGTTGGCCTCTTTTAATCTTGTACCAATAAATTTTTGTGTGAATTTTCTTTTTTGGTACAGATGATTTATATTCTTTCGATGAATGCTGAATAATCTCTTGATAATTTTGAGAAGATATTCAAAGATTTGTTCAAAAGTTTGTATTTGTCTTTTATGTTGCTTTCAGCCAATCCATTCTGCGGTTACCTTCAGGTGAACAGTCCATTTAGAAAAGAGGAGTGGCAGTCTCTTTCTTAGATAAACAGAAAAGAGAAAATTTGAAACTGTTAAGACAAATTGTATCAGGAGGAATAAGGGTTGAGAAAATAAAGAATGTTACTGGAAGGTGGGGGATATTAAAGGCAGCTGACACACACAGGTGTATAAGTCAGGCCAGTGTGGAGTTCTTTCTGCAAAGGGTAAGAATTGGAGAACATCTTTGTGCCATATCGCCTCATGACATAGGTGACCATGGCTCTCCACAATTTCCTGTCCTCTATAGATCTTTATAAATTTTGTCTTTTTGTTATTTTGCCTAAACCCTGTTCCGCCATCCATTTATTCAAATCCACTAAGTAAGTTATACTTTGTTTTCTCTATTCCTCTTGCCTTCAATCTGCCCCATGAGTATCAGATTTTCCAAGCTCTCTTTCCTCATGTGCCCTAGATATTTCAACTCTCTTTCTGATGTTAAGTATAAGTTTCTTTTTTGTTTCCATTTTCTCTAAAATTTTATCATTGTTCACATTCAGTCGATGGTATGCTCAGCATCCTTCTGTAGAACCACATTTCTGTTGATTTAAGTCTCTTCTTCATCTTCGAGGAGATTGTCATATAGTACAGATATCACATAACAGTTCAGTACTCTTTTCTTTGTTTCTAATGAAGTTTTTTCTGTTTCTTAATACTCTGCTTTAGGAATGCATCTTTGGCTATCCCAATGTGTCTTTGGATTTCAGTGTCACACTTTCTATCCTCTGTTAAAATACTTCCCAGATGATTAAATTCCTGTACTTGTTTGATTTTAGTATCTCCGACTTGGAATTTGCATTTTGGACTCATCCTTTTGCTAACAATCATGCATTCTGTCTTCCTGCAGTTGATATTTAGTTCTTTCTTCTCACTTTCATTCACTAATTTCTGTAGGAGTTTTTGTAGTTTTCTTTCTGTGTCTGTTATCATTAATGTGTCATCTGCAGATCTTATGTTGTTAAGGTTGTGGCTGCCAATAATGAATCCTGGTAGGACTTCTAATTCTCTCAAAATCATCTTGTTGTATAGGTTGAATAAGTTTGGTGAAAAGACACGTCTTACACCCCTTTCTATTTTTGTATATCTTTTGAACTCATTTTCTATCCAAACTCATTACTACCAATATAGGTTCTTGGTTATTCTAATATCCTTCCCAAATATGGCAAGGTTTCTGATCAGTTCCAACAGAAGTTTGTGGAATACTTTATGGAACATCTTTGTGCAATCTATAAAACACAGGTACACATCCTTCTGCATTTGTATTGCTCTTTCTGGTGACATTCTGAGAATAAATATCATGTTCCTTGTTCCTGTGTCTTTGACAAAGCTGCATTTTTCTTGTTCTATTTCTAGTCTGATTTTGCTGCATTCTATGTTCATCAGAATTCGGATAAGTTTGTTATATGGCTCATTAGACTGATTGTCCAATGGAGTTCACATTTGTTTGCACCTAGCTTCTTAGACAGCACTATGAAAATGGATCTACTTAGGTTTGCTGGTATATCACCACTGTTGTAGATTTAATTTATTATTTCTGTAATCTTTATGCCAAAATTATCTAAAGCTGCCAGCATCTCTATTACAATTCTGTCTGGTCCTGCCGCTTTGTTTCTGTTCAATTTGGCTAGTGCAAATTTTAATATTTCCAGTCCGTTGATATTTCTGTGTAATGCCGGTTGCTTTCTTTCATCGTGGAAGAGTTCTCCGATATATTTGTATATATTTTTTCTTTCTTTAATATCAGTGTTCCATCCTTGGATTTTATGCATCCTGTTGATGAGCATGTATTTTGTCCTATTAATTCTTTATACATATCTGCTTTATCTGTGATATTATTTCTTTCTATTTCTGCACATTCCTCTTTAACCTGCCTTCATTTGTTCCTTATTTTTTGTGTGTGTAGTGTCCTATATTGTTTTCCATGTCTTAGCATTGTTTTTTTTTTTTTTTTTTTTTTTTTGTCCCCTTTCCATCATGTCAAATTTAATCTGTCATCCATTCATTTTTTTTTCCTTTGTCTATTTTCCTTTGGGAAAATTGCTGATGTTACTGAAGCTTCTTTTAATGTTTCCCACTTTGAATTTTCATTTTCATTTTGTCCATCATATCTGCTATTCACACTGTCTATATATTTCTCCTTCAGATTTGGGTCATTCAAGAGTTAATATTGCAATTTGAGTGCTGCCTTGGGTCTCTTCAATTTCTATAGTTTCACTCTAAGTTTAGATATCACTGGAGGGTGATCGCTTCCACAGTCAGCACTTGGATATATTTTGCAGTGTAAAATTGTGTTCCTGAATCTCTCATTGATAGTTATGTAGTCTTATTTTTCTCCTCCTAGGCTTCTGCATGTCCATGTATGTTTTGGGTGTTCTTGAAACCAAGTGTTGGTTGCTATCTGCTCATTCACCATACATCACAAGACCCATTTTTCTCTGTGTTGAACATCACTGTATATTAAAAATACAGAGTCACCTGGGAATGGATTTGCAAGTTTAGCTTCTATTCCTGAGAATGAGCTGAATTGGTGAATATATTTGCCACCATTTTTTTTTCTGTTGATCACCATTTCCTTCTTTCTTTACAAATTATCTACCCTGAAAAGTGTTGTAAAATGGATTAACTGCAAAACATGGAAACAACATATAAGAAAACAAATTTGATATTGTGATATGATAAACCTATTTTGTTGGAAATTTAAAGAAAATGATTGAGCTAGAAAAAATAAACCACCATCATTTTTTTTCTGTGTCCCTCCAGTCCTAACTAATGGAATTGCTTGTGGATTTCTCTATTAATTTGTGGGATATGCAAATTTCCATATTGTGCTCATAATTAATTTTTAGTTTTTTTTTTTTTTTTTTTTTTTTTTTTAAAAAAAAAAAAACGTAAAATGACCTCCATTCATGTTTCAAATGATGTTTGTAAGATATGCTCACTTTAATGGAAATGACTTCATATAGTGTTAACACTTTCACTGTTGCAATGTTATAGCATTATTATCTTCTTGCATTGATTTCTTGTGAGTGGCACCATTTTAGTTTTGATAGGATACTGTTGGAGATAAGACAAAATAGAAAAACTACTGTCTCTGGAATGTCTCCCATTTCAACCTGGGGATGCCTACTATAAGGGGCAAAATGCATAGCTAAATAGTTTTTCACTTTGTCTTATCTCCATTTTCCTTGGGACATTATCATACATCCTCCTATTATCCATAAAATATTTTGTAATATGAACTAAGATAAACAATATCCCCAACATGCAAAACAATAAAAATAAGTGGCAGAATTGGTCATATTGTATGCTACTTTATGTCTATACTAGCGGCTGACATTTCAGCGTCTTTAAACATTGACAGCAGACAATATATTTTTGGAAAGATGTATATCTAAAGCAGTGAAAGTTAACTCCTATTTAGTATAGATTCAAGATGAGATAATGTTTGTGGGATAAAACAATGACTCTTGTATGTATTATAAATTTTACATGTTGTAAATTTCAGGGTGAGAAAGAAGACAAAATTACAGCCTTTATTGTGGAAAGAAGTTTTGGTGGCATCACAAATGGCAAACCTGAAGACAAATTAGGCATTCGAGGCTCAAATAGTAAGTTTTATTATACTAGTTTAATTTGCCTGCATAGTTTTTCTGAATCTTTTCTTAAAATATTTATGAAGATCAGTTTTTTGTTTGTGGAAGTTTTGAGCATTTGGTGTGTTAGACTATTTTTGTATGTTGGTTAGTTATCTATGTTACCTTTCTGTTACTTTTGGTTTTGTTGCAGTTAAAATAATTGGTAGTGTGTTTAACAGAATTAGTCATTTCTTTTTGTTAAGTTGATACTATATGGAGTGGGAGTTATGAATCCCACATGGCTACTTGTAAATCCTTGTGGAAATGCTGACATTCCTCTTCCCACAAATTGGTGCCATTTTATTTAATCTTTTTAAGATATGAGTAATTATGAAAATCCTCATTGGCAGGCACAAACTATTAAAAAAAAAAAAAAAAGACTTTCTCTGAAATACTTTAAATTAATTTTTCTTTTACTAAATTCCTACTTTCCAAAAATGGTTTTGAAAACCAAACTTCAAATTAAAAATCTTTTAATTTGATTCTTTTTTTTCTTTTCTCCAGCCTGTGAAGTCCATTTTGAAAATACTCCTGTACCAGTAGAAAATGTCATTGGAGAAGTTGGGCAAGGATTCAGTGTAAATATATATTTTTTGTTTCTCCCTTAAACTTACCTGTGTATAAATGCTCTGATACGGTAGGTTGTTAATTGTGATTTCTGTCTGAATTTCTCTGAAGAATTCTCATTATTTACAGTCAGAGTAATTAAGGAGATCAGGCCAACTGTAAAAAAAAAAAATGATGATCCTAAGATATTTTTCTGTTTTAATAAACCCTATATTGTATCTTAGACAAGAGGGTGCTGAAAAATTGTCCTAGCCCACTCTCCAAAATCAATATTTCAATGACTAAACATCAGAATATTTTTTTTTCCAGGGTTAAAGTAGTTTGAGAATTAAAGTGCAGAGTTTTATTGAATCTTGGGAGGGAGGGAAATAAGTGGAATTGCATGTAGATTTTGTGGCTCCAGGTCATTCTTCTTGGTTGGGTGGGGCTTGTCACATTGAAATGCCGGCTTTTGTACAATCACCAAAGTTAAGCAATGTTGAGCCTTGTCAATATCTAGATGGGTAATCACTTGGAATACCAGTTGCTGTAAGCTTGGATGTATGGGTGCTGTAATGGATAATGGCTTGGAATTGAAAATTGGAGAGTCAAGTTCATTATATTTCCTTACATGCAAATACCCTTGGGAAGGATATGAATCCGCCTCTTCTTCCTCAAGCTATGGATTAACTCTCTAGCATTCAACTTGCCCCATAAATAACAGCTCTCAATGTTCAACTCGCTGTAGCCTGCCCCATGTATACTTTACCATAATATGATGACATCATGACAAATAATGAAGGAAGTCATGCAGTGAGACTTTGACCACAGTGACAGCTGATATCTATCGGGGGTTTTGAGTGTGTTTAATTCTAAAGGGTTAATTAGTAGGACTTGTATCAATAAATCATTATTATCTCCCCAAAATAATTCTTACAATCTAAAAATATTTTCTGGCCATAATCTGCAGAAAGTTGATAAACATAAAAAAAAAAATCAAACAATGCTGGTTGAGCTGTGAAATTTTTCATACTCGTGGGTATCAACTTGGAATAGCATAAATTCATTTTTCCCTTTTGCTCTGTCCCACTCCCTAATTGGTTCAGCATACTTTGCAGTTGCAAATGTTATCAAAGAATAGTTTGTTTTGGAAAGAATTATTTGTAATCACGATGTCAAAAAAGAAAATAGGCTTTTTTTTTTTTTTTTTTTTTTTTTTTTTAAATAATTCCTTTTGAAAATAGATTTTCAAGGCTTATTTTTGTTAAAATTGAGTATATTTTCTATTTTTATGAAAAAATTATTTAAATTGATTTTTTTTTTTTTTTTTTTTTTTTGATCAGTATTAATATATTATTTATATATTTAAAATGATATTGAATATAATATTGAATCAAGCTCTGATGCTTCATCCCTGTTCTTGTTTGATGATTAGATTTGTGAACAATGCCATACTATTTGAAAGTTATTATGGCCATAGGAAATTTACTGAATATCTAAAACATTGAAACAATTTAATTCTGAGCAATGACCACACAAGGTTTTATTGATGGAATTCCTTTATTAAGAACCATCAAACACTTGTGAAGGACATACTGTAAAAAAGATGAGCTTAGTATATGAACAGATGATGCATGTAAGTGGAGACAGATTTCTAGACAGGGTGGTGCGGTTATAAAATTGTAGCATTGTACCCACAGGCATGTACCTCTGTTTATACAATAAATAAAGGAGAGAAGTTGCTTGATTTAAATATCTGAAGATGGAGAATATAAACGGTCAAGATAGAGTAGCAACAAAAGTAGTAACAGTCACATTAGTAGATATACAAAGAGATTTTTGAATACGATTTAACACCTCATAAGATTGGTCATAATGTCACAATAAACTCATAACCTGATCTTGTTTTGGAATGTTCAATCAAGACAAGTTATAAAAATGATTTTCATTTATCTTCCTTCTAGGTGGCTGTGAATGTCCTGAACAGTGGACGTTTCTCAATGGGAAGTTCAAACTCGGGAGTTTTAAAGAAACTTTTAGGTAAGCCTCTTGAACTTGGAAACTGCTAAGAATAATAATTGAAACTTGGTGGAAGAGGGAAGAGACATCTCCTAGACAGCCCCTCTCATTACACTGATAAGGAGGATCACTACCTTGCTTGCATCAGTAGCCAATAGAACTGGATGATTTCTGGATAACTCCTACAACCGTGTGTAGCTATCCCACACTAATAAGATTGTTAGATTTGGCCTTGGGGCAGGGGGTGTTGACAGATAAAACTCTGAAATAATTTTTTCTTGCTGATTTGTTTTATGATTTTTTTTTTTTTATGATAAAACTGGTAGAAAAATTCCTGTAAATATTAAATACTTTTTCTGAAAAGAAAATTCTTTACATTTCTACAGAAAAAACAGTGGACCACACAATTAATCGCTCTCAATTTGGAAGGAAACTTTATGAGTTTGGCCTCATCAAGGTAATTTTAATCTCTTTGTATGTTATTTTAATTTCTACTCTACTGTTGATTCTGTCATTGTATTTAAGAAGTGATTTAATATTGAACTGATTTTAAGTTTTGCTCATGTCCTTTGAAAAAGTATGAAACCACCTTAGGATGTACTGGGGTGTAATGGATAGTGGCTTGGAATGAGAGTCTAGTTTGTTACATTTAATACATGCAAATAACCTTGGGAAAGGTATGAATCCGTCTCTCTTACCCCACCAGCTATGGGTAAATAGCAGAACAGACTGGGCCCTTGGTTGTCAAACAGCCTAGGAGAAGGAAAAATCTTAATTCAAACCAGCCTGATGGGGGTTGGGCTCTGTCAGATGATCTAGACCATGACACACCACTGCTGCTATGGCTGCATTACATGTGCTTCCTCTATGTCCCTAATGGGTTACAGGACTTGTGATTATGATCTCGAAGAGGGAGTGATTATGTGAATTTTCCCTCATTATTCAATAAGTGATTGATATCAGAAAATAAATGATTGTTCATCATTGTCATCACTTTTAAAGAAATATCAACCTACACTTTTTTTTTATCTTATACTGAGGTTGAGTTGACAGGTTTATTTCACTGATTTTTAATTATATTTTCTTGATCATGTTGCTGTACTAGATATGATAATGACCGTACTTTGTAGATGACCTCATATGATAATATGATGATTAAACCTCATATGGTAATTAACGGCTTTGTAGATGACCTCATATGATAATTAACGACTGTACTTTGTAGATGGCCTCATATCATGATTAACGACTGTACTTTGGCTGTAGAATCATTTGATCAAAAGCTCATAATTGACCCATTTTAATCATGGGTCATCAATGAATTATTTTTCAGTGTTGATGCTTTGCTAAATATAGAATTTGTGGCGCAAAATGTAGGTTAATGCACTTATCTATACCCCAGTAAAATAAATAACTTTTAAAATTAATTATTTTGCATTGTCAATGAATGCCAATAAATGAGAGCAACTAATGACTCTATGAAGATAAGCAGTAAATACCAGAATTTTCTGACTCTAATGTTCATACAGTATTAGTATAGGAATTGTGATATGAGAACATGGTAACTTCAAATTGGACTGTCTTCATCTCTCGTCTTCTGCTTCAAACTTGTAAAAGTTTTAAAAATGTTATACCATCATAAATTACTCTTAATTAGGGAAAGTCAAATGACTTGTGTTCCTAAGAAATAAAGATCTGAACTTGTGGGTCTTCTGTCATTCACCTTTACAATTTACGAATAGAACATGAGTTGTATAATTTGACAATAGTATAGTTTGACATAATTATTGAAGATAAAAAGTGGCAGAAACATAAGACAATAATGTTGGTATTTCATTTACTGATTAACAATAATCTTTCTGCCAGTAAGAATGTCACTTTAAGAAGTACACCCATTTAATAATAATTAATAATAGGTGTATTTGGAACACCACCTAGAAATTTGAAAGAGCGCTTAAGGAAGATTGGAGTTGAGATCAAGATTGTAGACCTCCAGAAAACTTATCATTTACTTAACTAAAATCCTTTGAAAAGTTCTTAAGCTATGAAGAGTCTTGTTCATACCATACTTCAAGAACAGTATTTCCACTGACTACATCAGTTGGCAACACTGATGATGATGATCTTATAATTAATTCTGTGTTCTCACAGAACTTTTCTGATGCTATACAAAAGATCTTTGAACAGATGAGTATTGAGAAAACAAATTTGGGTATGTATATATATATATCTGTGTGTGTGGGGTTTTTTTTTTGTTTTTTTTTTCTTGAAAAGTTGAAGAGAAACTGATTGACATTGTTAATTTACAGGAGAAATTGGCAAAAATTGCCCTTCACATTTATGTAATGGAAAGCATGGCTTATATGACAGCAGGTATTATGGACAGCTCTCCAAAAGCTGATGTCTCACTAGAAGCTGCAATGGTAAAGGTAAGGAAATTCTCACATGATTTTGAGGAACAAAGTTGAAATGTTTTGTTATCATCCCTGTTTAGTTTGGTATATTAAGTTATGTGGATTTAATTTATTTTGTTTCAGAAAATTGTTAGCAAGATCTTTTGCAATACTGTCAAACATATGATGTTCATTTGGGCTCAGCCTCATTATTGTTGTTTTTTTTTATTGCTTAGGGAGAACAGAGTAAAGTGCTGAATAAAAATGGTTATTTTTATGCTATTGATATTTGATATATTTGTGAAGAGCATAATTGCTAAATAATTTAAGAAATATAATATTTGCTATTAGTTATTAAGACAGTTATTGACAGCTTCAGAGATATTTTCAGCTACTTTATGCTTTTTGTCCTTTTATAAGATGTTTATGTAACTAGTGATATCACAGGTAGTATTTAAAAAATGTTAAAGCTTTCATTCATTCTAATAATGATATAAATCAGTTGCTAAAATGTTCATAGTACGTTTAACATATGAACAATTATTGAATTATTATCACTATCACAGGTTAATCATGTTGGAAGATCATGCAGAATATTAAAATCAGAGGTATTCTTTAAGGAGATAAAGAGTAAATTTGAGTTCCTCACAAGAATTTGTAATAGCTCACTTAGATTGGGTATGATTTTGGTGCAAGAAGGTGATAGCTATTAACAGGGATATGAATGGTATGAAAATTGCAATAGTAACATTAATGGTATTATGATTTTAACCACAATTTGTATTTTATCTTTCAAGTTGTATATTTATGAATTACAAATTAAAAAAGAATGTAAGTGTTATCAACAGAATAGAACATTTGTATGTATTCATGAATGAAGGGTGTGTTGAAAAGTTTTTGGCTTGACTATGAAACCCTTTTAAAAAGAAATTCTGATATTTGGTTCTCTAGCCTTGGGTGGCAGTCAAAGAGAAGGAAAACTCTGAATTCAAAATCATGGAAAAGAGGATGTGAAACCACTCATATCATTCTTGAGAAGTTATGAAAATTCACAGATAATAAAGGAAATGAATCTGTGGAGAGTTGTGTGCTCGCATTAAAAAATGGATGTATAGTTTTGGATTTTATAATTGATCATAAGGACAACAATACTATGACCATGTTACAATGTGCATTGGCAAGTAATAGAATGTATTGTGGAATTCTGGTTGAATTATATAGACAATAATCATCTAGTTTCAAACACAAGAAAACTTAAAATTGTTCTTGTTACAACACCATGCTTTGTTCCTTCACTTAACAAAGCCTAGTGTTGTAACAAGAACAATTTTACTGTTAGTAACTAGAGTTTTATGAACACAAATGTTGAAGGTTGGGCCAGACTCTTATGTGTAGAACATGCAGAGGATTTAAATTATATACTGTAATTATAGTCCAGTTGTCTTATGTTGCCTTTATATAGTAATCCTGTTCTAATGGAGGCCATCCAAAATTTGTAACATCAAGAAATTTGGAGATCCTTTTTTAATAACTCACTAATCATAGCCAAGCATTGAATGCTTGTCTCAAAATGGGAATGATTAACATGGACTATATTTTGTTTTATTGGCAAAAGCTCTTGACCAACCTTGACACTAACAATAGCTTTACTCCTTAATCTTAAAATTAACAAGGTTTATATAATATCAGTAACAAGGTTTATATGAAGTTCTATGGCAGCTCACTGGATTCAGTCTTTTACGCAAAGAAGTCCATGAGGGCTTTGCGCAAGTCTGCTTCATTGGTAAAGGATTTCCCACGAAAATGATTATCCAGGGAGTGGAAGAGGTGGTAATCGGATGGCACAACGTCAGGTGAATAAGGTGGATGGCACAAAGTCTCCCACCCAAGTTGCTGTATGATATCCCTGACCACTCGTGCGAAATGTGGCCTGGCGTTGTCATGGAGGAAAAGCACACCTTTGTGATTCACCAGTGCTGGCTCCTTCTGGCACAATGCCTGTTGCACACGTTTCAGTTGCTGCAAGTATAGGTCTCCAGTGACCGTTTGGCCTGTTGGTAGCAGTTCATAATGAACCACTTGACGACCTGTCCACCAGACACAAAGCATAATCTTGTGTGGGTGCATAGGCGGTCTTGTGGTGTGAGGGACAGCATCCTGAGGAGTCAACCAATGTCTGGAACGCTTGGGAGTTTCATACACAACCCACTTTTCATCACTGGTAAGCACTCAAATGAATAAGGATGCAGTACGGTGGTGAGAAAGCAGTGATACGCAGGTTGCCACCTCCAACAGCGTTTGCGGAACCCATTTGCTCAGTTTGTACATCTTACCTAGGCAGTGCAGGTGAAGTCTAACTGTTTCATTGGAAACGTTGAACTGTTTTGCAAATTCACCACATGTTAGACTACTGTCCTCTTCAATTGCCACCTTCAGGACTCCGTCATTCAAGATCTGTGGTCGTCCACTGCGAGGCTCATCATGGAGAGACAAATCTCCCGACTTGAATTTTCGAAACCAACGCCTTGCAGTACGTTCATCCACAGCACTATCCCCAAATGCTCGACATATGCGGCTGCTGATAAGCCCACTTTGAAGTCTTAAAGCAAACAGCCCCGAACGAGATCTCTAGACACTTCCATCCTTCTCACAGATGTCCGGCTTATAACTGATGGCCGGGCATGGTGCGCATGTTTTTTATAACGTCTGATGTTCCTACTTCCGGCTGTCCGAATTTGAAAACAATTGCTACACGCATTTCATATATATTTCAACTTCATTCAATGACTAATCAAAAAACAGGCAGAACATTTTTGGTTACCTTGTACCTTCATTCTAGATTCCTTGCTTGTGGATGATAATTCTTAACATGTTAAATTCTTGGTGATACAATTCAATAAAAAAAAAAAATAAATAAAATAAGACATAACTTAATGATTTTTTCCCTGACCTCTATCTTATGGCATTTGTAAAAATATATATATATATATATATATATATATATATATATATATATATATATATATAACATAAAAATGAAACTCAATTGTACTTCGTTTATATGGCCATTTTGCTCCTCAAGAGATTTCTCTCTTCAAGAAATTCCCTGTATCTTGTTATTACTAAAACATTTGATGAAAAAATGAATTGCATAATAAATATAAGCTCTCTTTTGTAGATCAGTTTTAATATTTTATATTATTAGAATTCACTTGGATTACTTATCCATGGATTTTTACATATATATATATATATATATATTTGGACTGTTGTCTTCATCTTTATTGCCATATTCACAATGTTTCGACTGTTTTATACTCCAGCCTTCTTCAGGTTATATTTGTTGGAATTTTAAACCAGACCCTTTATTTTGTCTACAAATGTAAATTGTTCTATTTCCATGTGCCATGCCTTGCCTTTGAATATCTCTGTTTTAATTAATTCATTTGATAACTCAAAATGTTTACCTATAATCTCAAGTATGATTTAACAAAACAGACAAAAAACAATGACATTAGATAATGCAACAAGAGTTTGTCATATAATACATCAACCCAACTCTCAGTTCTTTAAGCCTAGGACAAACTTGGCATTCAAACTCAGTTCCTTTTGCTCTTTTATTCTTAAATGGTTGTTATTCTTTCATATTGTTTTTTTTACACTTTTCTTTTTCTTTCTTTTAAAAATTATTTTAATTTTGTTGCAGATTTATAGTAGTGAGAGAGCCTGGGAATCTACAAGTGAATGTTTGCAGATTCTTGGTGGTCTTGGCTACATGAAGGATTATTCATTTCAGAGATATCTACGAGATTGTCGTATTTCTTTGATCTTTGAGGTTAGTTCATTATTAAAAATTGTTTTAAATTTGTTTTTTGTGCATTGATACACCCCTGGTCAAAATCTTAACACCAGATACGAAAGGGTTACTTTAATCACAATATATTTGCGAAACATTTACATTTAATTAGAAAATGCATTTTATCAACAAACAAGTGAAAATTTTAAGCTTTTAATTGATTTATTTTAACAATCATTGAAAAAAGGATTTTTTTGGTTGGTCATAAAGATAAGACTATGTGTGGAAAAAAAAAAAACATTTACTGGACAAAAATTTTAAAACTAGTCAATGTGCTCATAGCCTCAGGCATGTAGACATCTACATAGCTCATTTCCAGTATTAAATTTCAGATTTTAAAATGGCTAAGGGTAAAATTTTAACAAAGTTTGAACTTTGAACAGGGCAGGATTGTTAAACTTCAGACATGGTCTTTCATAATGAGCCATTGCATATGAAATTGGCTGTAGCAGAACTGTAATTGCTAACTTAATTAAAAATCCGGATGCATATGCTTCTAAAAAATCAAGCAATCACCCCAATAAAATCTCACCATCTCTAGAGAGATGCATTAGGTGAGAAATTAAGACAGATTCAAGCCTAACATCAAATCGGATAAAAGCAAATACAGATGCTGAATGCAGCTCTTGAACAATTCAATGGCATTTAAATAAGAAAGGGTTTAAGAACTTAAAAAGGCTGCAAAGGTCTCGCCTTCTTCTTTGCCATAAAACCTCCCATTTACAATTTGCTGGATAAATGGAAGAAAGTTGTTTTCAGACAAAAAAAAATTCAATCTTGATGGCCCAGACTGTTTTCAGTGTTACTGGCATGCAAAAGATGTCCCATAAGAAATTTTCTCAACATGATACAATCGAGGTGGATCAATTATGTCCTGGGCTTCATTTTTGTACCATGGAACTCTTTAGTTACAGGAGGTAAAAGGTCGTCAAACAGCTGCTATTTACATTGACATGTTAAGAAAGGCATCGCTAATTACTGAAGGCCCTCATCTATGTGGTGAAAACTCGATTTTTCAGCAGGACAACGTTGCTATCCACAACGCTCTCCAGATCAAAACCCAGCCGTGAATGTTTAGGGGTGGATAGCAAAGGTTGTTTATAAACATGGATCGCAATTTGAAACTGTGGATGTTCTTTGTGCTGCAGTTTATGCATCCTGGGCGAGCATCCCAAGCACCTTCATGCAGAAGTTAATAAAGAGTATGCCAAAGCGAATTTTCAAAGTAATTCGCAAAAATGGACGATATACTAAGAATTAAATTGCCATTGTGACTTATTTGTTCTGTATTTGCTATTTTTATTTACATGGGCTTTATGACCAACTAAAAAAACGTTTTTTTTTTGTTTTTTTTTTTTTTCAATGTTTGTTTAAAAATTAATCAATTAAAAGCATAAAATGTTCACTTGTTTGTTGATAAACAACATTCTCTAATTAAATGTAAATGTTTTGCAAATATATTTTGATTAAAGTAACAGTATTTTACACTTTTTTTTTTTTTTTTTTTTTTTAAAAAAAAAAAACCCTTTTATATCTGGTCTTAAGATTTTGACCAGGGGTGTACTTGTTTTTGAACCTGAAAACCAAAGAAGTCTTTGAATACCATTTATACAATCATTCTGCTTGCTTCTATGTACAGCTGCTATGATTTTTTATGTAGCATCAGTCTAATATAGGGATAAAAAACGTTATTAACCAAGGAAGAATTGGAATAAAGCAAAGGAGTAAAAAAAGCAAGAGGAAAGGTAATAAAATAGTAGAGAAAAATTGTCCATGTATACTTTAGATGGAATGTAAGTATAGTAGGCCAATGAAAGAAATTAAAAAAAGACATAATAATGATATTTATTGCTGCCATAAGAACAGAGGTTGAAATAAAAAGTACCTTGTGCAATACTGTCAGGAAGCTTCCTATAACAATGGACAAGATAATAGACAAAGCGTCTGATGATGAGTTCATAAAGGACAAACTAAATAGTAAAGACCAGAATATCTCAGAAGTTTACTCGCTCTATAATGACATACCAATGTATGAAGACAGTAGTAATCCCATCTACATTACAGAAAAGAACTTCAAGGAATTTCATGTTGGCCATCTGGGAAGAATGAAGAGGAGGAGTTATGTCTACTGGACCAATATGGACAAGGATGTGCTTTGGCTACTAAAGCACCCCCAATAAAATTCATTCCTGGCTTAAAACTGATCGCTCGTGGTTGCAGATACACATTGATTTTGCTGGTCCACTTGATGGTTTTGGCTACCTTGTAGTAGTTGACATTTATTCCAAGTGGCCAGAAATATTGAAATGTAAGAAGCCGATCACGAAGGTGACAGTAAAATTTTTGCACAAGCTATTTTTCTGTTTCAGAGTTGTTGATTGTATTGTTACAATGGCACACAGTTCACATCTTGTGAATTTAAGGATTTTTGTCAATCATTCTTCATCGAACATATTACCACAACACCATATCACCAAAGAAGTAATGGACAGGCAGAGTGTTTTGTTGACACTTTCAAGAGAGCAGAGAAAGGCGAAAACTACTTCCACTGACACGGCTATACAGCAGTTTTTGCAGGCCTATCGTGTAACTCCTAATGGCAGTGCTCCATCTGCTAAGACACCAGCGGAGGTTATGTTTGCCAGGAAAATAAAATTGGCATTTGACAAATTCCTTCAGAGTGAAATGAAAGCAGGAAATAGGAATTAAGTGTTTTAAGATCGATGAAAAGGTTTATTTTCATGTATTTTGAAATAATAAATCTCACTGGGAGATAGGAACAAGAAGGAAAGAAGTTGGTAACATGATTTACATGGTTCAGGGACCGAAGTTTATACACAAACATCATGTAAACCAAATTAGAAAATGGTATGAAAGTTTAGTCGACAGGGATCTCATAGATGACACTATGGATGTTGTCTTTGATTGCGGTATTGGAATGTCAAAAGTGTCAGTGCTCGAAAGAAAAAGGAAATTTACAGAACCTTTAGAAGTTAACCTGAAAAAGAAAAGCTATTGAACATCTTTTATGTCATACCATGTCAAAAGGAAAAGAATGAATAAAAAACCCATCTCCTCACTTATGAACTTTAAATTACCAGAAAAGCACAATCTGCATTGGATTATTGGAAATTCTTATTTAAAAAAAGAAAAAATGTAAATGTAATTCCTGTATATAGCTTTTTCAAAGTGATTGTTTCTGTTTTTTTTTTTTTTTTTTTTGAAAAGGATTGAATAAAAAGTATTGTGGTATTAAAAAACAAAAAAAACCACCTCCAAAATTCGATTGAGGATGAAATGGAACTGTCTTTAATTTAATCACAAAATTAAATTCGGGGCTTTTAGCTTCCATTTTTGAAACATGGTTAGAACTGTGTAGCAAAAAACAAAACACATTTTATAATATATATATATATATATATATATATGAAAAGATTACTTAACTTTTAAATATCAATTTTATACTGACTTCAAAGTTTCTTAGTAAAATTTCCATTCTTCGGAAGTGTTTGGTTTTAGGGGGAAAATTTTCTTATTAATAAATCTTACCCATGACAGCTTAAATATTTTTAATTTCAGGGTACAAATGAAGTTCTGCGATTGTATGTGGCATTGACAGGTCTCAAATATGCAGGAATAACACTAAAGGAACTAATCAAGTAAGTTGTAAAAAAAAAAAAAAAATTTCATATAAACTTTTTCTTATTCTCAAATCTAAGGAGGAATAAAGTTACTGATGATGTCTTTATCTTTTAATTTTTTTTTCTCCATTTCCCATTACAAGTAAAATCTGGAAAATCTAAATTAATATTCCCTTCTGTTTATACAAAAAAATTTTTTTTCAACTTAAAAAATTTATGGAAATGCTTTCTTGATTGTGGAAACTGTTATCAGCTACCATGGTAAATAAGAGCATGTTGAGTGTTGTTTTTTTTTATGCCCATTGCTGATTTTTATTTATTTATTTTTAACCTTGATTCTCAGAAAACTAAGAGACCCTTTCAACAATCCTGGACTCTTAATGAAAACTGTTTATTCAAGTATGAGAAAGCGTCTTGCAGAACCAAAGCTGACACATGATCTAGCAGCTGCTGTGCACCCGACATTAAAGGTTTTACTGGCTTCAGCATTTTTTTCTTTTATTAATTTTGTTTGCATAATGTTTAAATTTTAAGTGAAAACTTTCACTCTTTTAAAAAATATTTTCTATCTTTTCTTGAGACAACTGTTGTAAAACACTGACTCTTTTGCTAAATTTTTAGTCTTTTTATATTTTTCTAATTTAGCCACAAGCGGACATTTTAGAAAAATGCACAGCTCAATTCAAAAAGATTGTGGAGATAGTTTTGTCAAGACATGGAAATGTAAGTGTTACCCCTTTTCTTCTCTTAGCCTTTTGACCATCACAGTTTTCCAAGCTTCAGTTTTATTTATAACATTGTAGATTTTATAAACAGAACAAAGATGAAGATACTAAAAAAAATGTTCTTTGGTCAAAATATTTCTTTGTGGTCTTCTCAGGTTAGGATGGACCAATTGTTGACAACTTGTAAAATTCTGCCATTAGGACCTTCTGTAAATTTATAATCTTTTCAAGATTGCAGGTAATGAATTTATTCATACTTTAGTCTATTCACAGCTAGATTATTGCTAGAGCCAATTGATATTAAGACTTTTTCTTTCTTTTAAAATTGTACCAAAACAATTTAAATTGCAGAGAATTGTTGAAGAACAACTTGAAGTTCAGCGGATTGCTAACATTGTCATTGACCTCTATGCCATGACAGCTTGTATTGCCCGATCATCCAGGTCTTATTGCATTGGTCTCAGGAATGCTGACCACGAGGTACAGGACACTTTTCAAATTTTTTTCCTGCTAATTTAAATGTGCTTCTCTCAATCTCTACCTAGCAGTGACTTTTTAAAATATTTACTGGAATACGCCACATCTAGATTTAAATCTTATTTTCAAAAGGGATTCATTTAGTTCCTGAGGGAGGAATTTTAGCAAGGGTTAGAATTGGTCAATAAATAAAATAGAAGTTTTATTATCGAATTGAAATAAGGATTTTTTTTTTTAATGAATAAAACAATTTGATTTCATAAATTGTTTCAGTAATTACCACTGTAAAAGCATGTAAAAAAAAAAAAAAAAAAAAAAAAAAATTGCTAGTTGACAAGTTTAAAATATGACAAAAATTGAGGATAGCTCAGATAAGGCAAAGAATAATCTTACTCTGAAACACAGATTTCATGTTGATCAATTGATTTCACATTAATATAAAAATAATTGGAAAAGTGCTGGCTGAAAATTCTTAAAAATTATAACACCCTATCCAAGAATTTTGAACAAAAATTGACAATATTTAAAAGATGTCCACAGAATAGTTATGCCAAAATCTGAAAATAAAATCATTTACAAATATTGCCAAGTAGTGTTTAATTCAACAAAACTGACAAATCTTTTGTAACTGTTTGGTATCATTCCCAAGTTCCTTAGACAATATTAAGCTTTTTTGAGTCTTGTATATTTTTATTGTACCGACAGATTTATTAATACTTTCCTTGTTTTTTCTCTTAATGTCAAAATATATAACCATGTTGTGATTTTTATATGAAAATACACTCCATATTATCAAACATTTGACCCTGATAAGCAATTTGATGTAGCTTAGTGTAGTTCTGTCCTGTTAAAAACTACAAGTCTTAGATAGAACTGAAAATCATGTAAAACTGATTTTAACATTCTTTGAAGGAATACTTTTGATTGTATTTTCTGTTAATTTGCAAAAATATTGTTTCTTCCATATATACTTGTTAAACTTTTAATGTATAAATTAGGTGCAATTTAATTAATAAAAGGAAAAGTAAATTACTATAATAAGTGAAATGAGTAGTTTTTTTTCTCCTTATAAGTTTTATACTTTACACAGAAGAAATAATTTAGTGTTTCTCTTTAGTATATTCAAATTAAATAAAATTTACAAATTTTGTGGGAGGGCACTGTATAACATTAGATTTTTTATTAGACAAAAGAATCCCTTTTCTCTTCATCCCTGCAGATTATGATCACAAAAGCTTTCTGCTTTGAAGCAAACAAACGAATCATTGAAAATGTGAAAGATTTGGAAATGGGTAAGTTGAAAAATGATTTCTTACAACAAAAAAAAAATTCACTATTACTGTGACCAACTGTCTTGATATAGGTGTGTGTGTGTGTGGTTGATAGTTGACAATCAGATCAATACTGTCACTTAATTGGAGTCATGGCATAGTGAGTGACCAGATGTTTGTCATGGTATCAGCTGAATGCAATAAATGCACAGGAAACTGTTGACCAAGACAGCATTATTATGTGGGGGAAAAAAAAGCCAACATGGACTTTTCACAAAACACCTCAATTTGTGAAATACCAAAATGCAATTACTGTTAGGGCCAAAACAACTATTTTGCTGCTTTTATCATGCTAAAACATATTGTATTAATTTATACTAGTAATCCAACCTGCCTAGATGTAAATTTTATGTTGTAATGAATTGTGTTTATGGTTTAACTGACCAGACAAGGTCATCATTTTTTTCCCTATTTCTTTCAGGTCATGTATTGAACAATGATGAAAATCTTTACCAGATCTGTGATCAATTGATAAAATCCCATGGCTATGCTGCAGAACATCCCCTGACACGAAATTGGTGATAGAACTTTCCAAAGAAAAGCGTTGCCTAACAGGACTGATTTTTTTTTTTTTTTTGTAGAACACAGCTGGTCTTTTAATGTTTTCTTTACTTCCCAAAATAAAACCTTGAGTTCATAAACATGTTTCATCTCAGACTTATATTAAAAGCTCAGCTGCTAAAAACAAACTTTAGTTTCTTCACATCTAACAGCAAAAAATTGGAATGGCTTAGTTTGTGCTCAAATAAGAGTTTTCATGATAGTCCACAACTTGACCTTTACACAGGTTATGAATTATAAGCTAACTTCTGTAACATTACATATCAGCTAATATTTATTGATAACTAATACTGTAATGTCATGTTTCACTCCAGTGTAAGGAAAGAATCTATTTTCTTAAATAAACTCTTATATAAAAAAAAAAAAAAGGTTTTCTTTTCTTATTTAACATGAAATGGAGTGAGTGCTGATTATGCTAGCATACAAGCATAGTAAAACAAGAATTTTCAGCACCCCCTCCAAAGTGCAATGAAAATCAAATACAAAATTTCAGGTTAATGTGTAACAGATCTAATTCACTAAAAATGTTCAAAAGAAATGAGAAAAACAATGACAAACATTCATTCAGTCCCCTTTATTCGGTAACCAGTTTTCAGAACTAAAGCCTTAAAAATAAGATTTAGAAGTTGGTGTATGGCCGTCTGGTAGTGAATCTGGGATTGTGCAGATTTTTATTCACACGATGTGGAAGAGGGAACTTGATCTTGGCATCCTGAAGAGAAAAGAGGTTTTTGTTTAGTGTAAAAGCAATCTTAAACTGGTAGGAATCATGTAATTTACAACTAAATACTTCAATCAGCTGGAAATAAAGAATTTATTTTTTTGTAATTTTTCAAATTTGTTCTAAATTTGTTAAATGTTACAATCTTGATTCGGTCTCATAAATACACCACAACTTATGAGATGCGACAGACTTATTTACTCTTGCACAATGATTCTGACACAGGCAAGTAAAAAGGAATTGCTGTGTAAACGGTAATTGTGCAGTACAAGCAAAGTCAATTAGTTGCAAAACAGAACTTACATGGAACTGCTTAATGTAAGCTCTTCTGCATTTCTTAGCAGCCACAGTCTCCACCCTTATGATTTGGATAGATGAGGGTCTGGCACGATGTCTGGCTCCCATGTCACGATCTGGTAATATGAAATTAAAAAAATAATAATATATAAACCATCAACCAGAATCAATTTTCACTTTGTAACTGTTTTACAGAAAATTTAATAAAAGTGAAAAATGTAAGTTTTTATGAGAGTAAATGTCACAATCTTGATTCGGTCTCATAAATATAAGTACACTTATGAGATGCGACAAGACTTATTTTCTGTTGCACAAGGTTTCTGACACAGGCAAGTAAAAAAAAAGTTGCTGCGTAAACGGTAATTGTGCAAATGATACATCAATATTTATATTAGAAAACAAATCTTACAGCACTGAGTAACAGCACCAGCTGCAGACAAATCACGGTATTCCTTGTACATGTTGTGGATTCCACTACGAGATTGATAGCGCAACCAAATACCATAATTCTTAATGGTGCCAGGTTTCCTCTCAAAAATCTGAAATGGTTGAAACAAATTACATATGTAGACTGTTAGAGAATAAAAAACAAAACACACACACACACAACATTTGGTAGCTAATAACCACCCAGCATCACCTTTCACCAGAGGAAGAAAATCATCCAGGGTCTGTTATGTATAGAAGATTCAGAGAATCTGTGATCAACATTATGGCACTCAAAAGCAGTTCACAATCCTTTGGAGATATTTGCAATAATTATTACAGACAATATGAGGATGGACTACCATTTGCCAAGTCCATGGCCCGAGCAATAAACAATAACATGACTAAAACAGATGAGTAAATGAAATAGGCAGGACCACACAGAACACAAGTTACAAAAAACTTGAAAAGCTTTTAATTGCCCTAAGAAAATTTTCATCAATGAATAATAAATTTTTTACAAGAACCGTTTCCATTTCCTTTAAATTTTAAACCATAAATTGTTCAAGATTCTACATTACTTCATTCCAGTGAAGTGAAAAATATATTTCTGAATGAATCAAAAATTGTAAAGCAATACAAGTCGTTTACATATGACAACACATTTACTTAGATTTTAGTCAACCATACTTAGCTAGGCACCTCCACTTTTCTCTCATCATAAATTTTCAATGCCTAAGGGTTAAAATGAAAATACATTTTTGAAGATTCCATTTTGGCTTTAATTGAAAGCTGAAAGGATTAAATTTATTTCCAGTAAGTAAAATATTTTGGTGTATTTCAGATAGAAACCAGAGTGGAATGTCAAAAATTTCCTTAACCTTAAGGAATTTGTAAACAAAATTTTTCAACCCTAAAACTATATATATATATATATAAAAATAAACTATCTACCTGTGTGCCATTGGTGGAGTTAAGCTTCAAGATAGGACATCTATCGTAGACCTATGTAACAGGTGTAATATTGGAGTAATCATGACTTTCTGATGACAGGATACCCAAGATTCTAATGTACAGCAGTTAGATCATGCTTACATAGGTACCTCCACGATATCGAAAAAACTGGAAATCTCACTTTGAAATTCTTTTAAATATCAATTATCATTTTTTCAAAACTTATTTTAAGAAAATCAGAAATTATGTTTATTTAAAATATTTTGAACCAAACTTAACTTAGCTTAGCTTTTGTGCCAAAAAGATGTAATTTGAAAATAAAACAAAGCAAGTCATAAACTTTCGCGTCTCTTGACAGGTGATGAATGACATATTTACGAATTCCATGAGGCTAATTTGTTCTACGGAAGGAGAAAAGTGAAATAATTTACATTTAAGTGAACAAATTATTTACCTCCTTATTTTTAATGAAAACTTTCAGCGGTCTAATTTTTTTTTTGTACTTAGCTTTCACCTTTATGTTTATGATGCTTTATGGAAAATATATTATAAAGAAAAATAAGACTATTAAGAGTGACATTAAATTTCATATTTCCTAAGAAAGGTATCTAATTTATTTATAGGTACCTTTCTTATGAAATTTTATCAGAACTGTACATAAAATACTATAATTTTATGTACATTTATTACATTTTACTGTTATTTGTATTTGCATTCATTTTATTATTAATTTTGATATTTCATTTATGCAAAAAATGTCATAACTGAGATTAATATAAAAATAAGATCATAAATTTCATAAGATGATACTAATACTTGTAGGTACCCTTTTCAGCTGAAATTGAAAAACCAAATTAACTTCACATGGGTTTCGCAAAAGTAAAGGCCTTAACAGCGGAGAACAAGGCTTAACTCAAATAACGCAACTTAATTATATTCTGGTTGGTCTTCCGTACTTTATAATTACAGCCCGGCTATAAGCACAAAATTACATTTCTTAATTACTGTGGATCTTCTGATTAGTCAAAATGATACAATTTACAATGCGCTAAAAAAAAGATCTATCTCACAAGAACACTTAGGAAAGCCGATGTGGCGTTTAACTAATTTCATAATATTTTAACAACTTAAAGAAATAACAAATAATTGTATTAAAAATTCATTTTTCACCGAAAAATTTTCTTTTGCTTTCAGAAAATATTGCCCATATTCATAAAAACAACTAAGAGCAAATAAAAGCATTTGAAATTAAATAATATCTTTGTTTTATTGAGTTTTGTATGTTACAATCCAGAGCTGATTTTCAGGTACGTTGGCTCCAGTTAAAAAAAAAAAAAATTTGCATTCCTCAAAGTTCTGTGCTTTTAATTATTGCAATCACTAAAAAAAAATTTTCATTAAGTAAACAATCCTGGTGTATTTCAGATAGAAACTATATACATTGGAATGTCAAATTTAATTTTGATTTCTTAAAATTAAGAAATTTGTAAACAAACAAAAATTTATCGATTTTTTAAAAATATTTTAAAAGATTTGACACGTTATTTTAGTAAAATTAGAAAATTTTAAGTTAAATTAATGTGATTTGAAAGAAATATTACTTATAGCATAAAAAAGTAATATACAACCAATTATTCATGATTGGCACTGTTCATTTGATGGACTGTTGATTGACGAACCGATGACAGCTACTACGGATGACCATAAATGAAAATTATTAGAAATCTGAGTGAATGCTTTTTTTTAAAGTTTTACTGTTGTGTTTATTTATTAGAACAAAGGGACAATACTCTCAGATCACGTGAACTTTTCATAATAATCTGTAAACCATACACGAAAATAAGGAACGTATTAAAAAAAATTTGAAAAATAAAATAGCACAGCTATGTTTATTAATCTTTTCCATTTTCGATTTGTAAATTTCGTTTCCACTTAATATATATCACATCCAGGAAATCAAAAAAAAAAAAATTTTATGCACCCGCGATGACGTAAACAAAAGACTTTAACCAAAATTTCAAACATGTTAGAAAGGATTAAAAAACCTCTAAAAATAATTAAAAAATACTTTGGGCTTTCATCTTGATAACATAAGCATTTTGACGATAAAACTATTTTCGTTAAGTTTGTGGCCCTTTTCATTACGCTATGCTGTTTTCCCATGGAAAAAACAAAACAAAGGTACCTTATGCACACACATAACTATAGAAATTCAATGTTGAAGCATGCAAGTCAAAAGCACAAGGCTGCGAGGAAAGTAAATCATGTTATGAAATCATCATGTTACTTGTCAACCAAGAACCGCTGTTAAGACCAACCTTATATTTTAAAGTGCATTTTCCAGCACAGAAAGCAAATAATGTTTGTTTCAAAATATGTTAAATAAATTTTATAATTTCTATTTCCTTAAATTAAATTTTGAAAAAAAATTATGATTTTTAAAAAGAAACTGATCTTTCCTCTTGATAAACATTTAGGTAGTAAAAAATTATTTTCATCAAGTTTAAGGCCCTTTTAATTCATAAAAAAAAAAAAAAAAAAAATCAATCTCAAACACAAACCATTGAATAAAATTAGAATGCTTGAAAGTTAAATTAATCCGATTTGAATGAAATATTACTTATAACATAAAAAAGTAACATACAACCATTTGTTATTGATTGGTCTTGTTTCTGAGGCAATGATTGATGGTTGATTGAGTGACAAAGCGATGGCAGCTATAATCAATATGAAATTTTACAAAATCTAAAGGAATCCTTGTTTGGTTTTTTAACTACCTAATAATTTTTACGTATTTCCCACAATTATCTAATAATTTACTGACTTTTTTTCTTTTTTTTTTTTTTTTTAAATCTTTCTGATAAGATGCTTTTATGCAAAATTTTTTTTTTTCAAATGCTATTAAAAAAAAGCAATTTCCCTGTAAAGAGACAAAACTTAGATTACATGTCATGTTTTGCCTTTCATAAATGAAAAAAGTGAACAATTTAAGCAAAAAAAAAAAAAAAAAAAAAAAATCAAATAGAATAGTATAACTACGTTTATTAATCTTTTCAATTTCAAATCCCACTCAATTACTACATCACATCAAGAAAGTAGCCTAAAACAGAATCTTACATGAGTCTATACTATTGTAAATTATTATAATAACCCTCCCGTAAAAATTCATTTCTCAGACAATAGTGCCCTTAACTTATTTACAAAAGCAATTAAAAGCTTTTCTAATTAAATAATGCTATAGTTTTATTGCATTCATTATTTTTATTATTATTAATTCAGAGCAGATTTTCAGTTAATGCAAATTTGGAAAAAATTCAGGATACAAAAGTTTTCTGCGAAACTTCATGGGATTATGTAAGGTGGTGGAGAAGTGGGTGTGATATTAAAAAAAAAAAAAAAAAAAAAAAAAGGAAATTGTTCCTTTAAGAATAAGCCCTAAAAATTTAATTAAAATTGGGCAACTACTTAATTTTTTTCAAGAATTTCAAAATCAATGTGATTTCAATGATGTAAACAAAAGATTTTAATCAATTTTGGACGTGTTAGAAAGGATTAAAAAAGAAAAAACTTTGGCCTTTCATCTTAATAACAAACACTTTGACAAAAGTTTTAAGTTGGAGACCTTTTTCATTACGCTATGCTGTTTTCTGTGAAAAAAGTTTAGGTACCTATAGCTGTTAAAAAAACAAACAAGATCACATGATTAAGGAATGCTTGTATACTACATTCTTTATGCTATAAGTAAAATTTGTTTCATATCAGATTAATTTAGCTTTAAATTTGTTAATTTTCCTTAAATAACGTGTACAAATATATTTTTGGAAGATTTTTAAAATTTAAAGTATTTTTTTGAAAGCAGGCAAGAAAGCTGAGACTCCAACCAATATAATTTGTTGGAAATACACCAGGGTATTTTGCTTAATGGAAATAGTAAATTTAATCACTTAACTTTCAATTAAATTGAAAAAGAATGCTTTAGCGTTTATAAAATTCATTTTAAAACCAAGGTATCGAAACTGAGTGGAAGGTATCCACTATAATACATTTAAATGAATTGTAAAGATAAATCATAGCTTACCCTGTGACAACAGACAATCTCTCCTCTAGTTTTCTTTAATTTTCTCAGCTGACTGGCAAAATACCAAAAGCGAGACTTCGCACTGCAAGGCTCAGAAGCAAAGATCCTCATCTGGAAGAGAGGAGGCTTGGGGCACTTCTCTGTGGGCAACTCACGCCCAATCACTTTGTACTGTTTCAACTGGAAGATAAAATAAAATCGAGAATCATAAAAAAAGTTATAGAAAATGAGAAATTAAGATAATTAGAGCGAATATGTTTCATTCTTTCATTACTCTCACACAGGTATAGATATGTATGAGTGACTAGAAATGAAAGTGGGAGTATTAATGTCGCACATTTTTTCTGGCATCAGTAACATCAGAAATCACTGAGCAAAGGGACATGTGCAATAATAGAAGTTTTTGAAGGATTTCAGCAAAATAATCATTCAGAGTAAAGCATAACAGATACCAACCACCTGAAATGTGCAAAATTTCCCCAACAGGCAATTCTTTCAAATATTTACTAATTATATAGAAAAATTTGGATAAACAAAGATACAAATTTAAAGGAACCATTTTTTGACATTGTGGGAAATATTTTATTTTTATAGTACACCAAAGTGATTCAATGAAGAAAAGCGGCCAAAACTATTTTAAATAGACAATAAGAATACTAGTAAAAACAAAATAATTAGCAAAGAATTGTGCCAAGTTTCTTTGTTTACCGGGATAAATGGCATGAAAGAAAGTGAACAGCATTAAATGTATGCGAAAATTAGTTAAAAAAAAAAAAGAAAAAAAAAAGTTAAATATAACCGATTTTACAAAAATACCTCACGAAGAGAATGCGATTTTTTAAAAAAACCTAAACAAGTTTTCCAATTATTCAAGTTTCGAAGTATATACACGTGGTTTTTTTTAAACATCATAGACGTTTTTTTTATAGGTAGATTAAAAAAAATGACTGTTTAAAAATTTAAGATGTAAATGTGTCATATATATATATATATATATATATATATATATATATATATATACACACACACATCAGGTCAAGTATACCGAGAAGTCCAGGGATCTAATATCGAAGGAAAATTTGTAATAATAATACTTCATACAATGAGACTTGTCAATACCTTAAAAAGAGAGATCAAAACAAGCATACAGCGGAGAGAGAAAAAAAAAGTCGTTAAATTGAAGATTACCATTCTAAAAATATTCGTAATCTGAAACTTGATGCTAACTTTTTAAAAGATAATTTAAGAATTCAACCTGTGATTCAGAGCATATCCCGATTTAACACATGGAAGGCATAACGTGCAATATTCTCAATACTACTTTTGCACAAACTCTCTCATCATAAGAATAACAGGATAATAGCTATCGAATTTATAAACACATACATAGGTCAATGGAAATTAAATGAGTCTCAAAAGGATTTAATTTTTCATTCAATTGTGCCATGTGGACATGGCCGCCATCTTAATCATTTTCATCCGGCATGTTAAAATAAAACCGAATTAAATCACGATTTTATACAACAAAAGAAAATACAAACAGAGACGCATGCGGTCAAGTCTATTGCTTAATAAGTGAGTATAAAATAAAATTGATATGAGAACATAAATCGACGTAAATATAATCTTTTCGTTCAGAGCTTACCTCGCCACGGGCTCTCATCTTTGATAGCTGATCTAGAAAGGCTGAACTCTCGCCTACAACACGTGATTACGCCACGAGACGAGACTGCAGCGTTAACGCTATCAGCGCTTTCATTATTATAATTTAAAAGTAACATTGTTTTTTTAATAAATATAATATTTTATGATCGTATTTTATAATTATATATCGTATAATAGTATTCTAATATAAAATTTAATTAAAAAGAAAATTTCATCGAAATCTCGCGTGATTCCGCGAGATCGATGCGTTAATACCCACGCTACTCTATGAATTACTCTACCCGGACGCTAAACGTTGAAAAGCCGCGATTGCAGGAAAGAGAGAAAAAGAATTACTAACAATAAGAAAAAATGTCAATTGTTTGGGCAGAGTGCAATCGATGTGCGTTCGCGACTCCCTGACGCAACAGTTATAATAGTTAAATCATATCGTCGACCTTAAAAAGCACAAGCTTAAACCAGATTTTTTCATTGCATTCGTGCTTTTTACAACAGAAGCTCCACGTGTCTAAAGAGGCAACGGGCTTCTCATCACTTTTTGTAATTTTTCATTTCTTTATCCTTTTATTGCTTAGTTGAGTGATAAAAGAATTATTTTATTTTACTTCCTATTTCACTGTTACGGCGATGGTTACCAGTTTCCAAGTTATTTTTATAGTTCAGCAAACCTGATCAATCATTAATGTAATGTTTTGTTTGTTAAAGTAACATTGTTGTCACTCCAGACTTTAAAAATTAAAGTTTATTTATTTTTAAATTAAAAATTCAAATCTCATATCGAAGAATCATACAACCAACTTGCTTTTTGCTTTACTTTCAAAACAAAAGTATATTTAAATTTTAAAGTGGCCTGTGTAATACTCCCACCTGTGACCAGTGTCTTAAAGTCTGCCAACAAAACAGACATATAATTGAAGCCAGGCGACATTTAGATAATACGCACACACAAAAAGAACCTTTATCAATAACCAATTTTTCTCTAGGTATTTAAAAAAATCCAAACAACTGATATATCTAAAAACTAATTTTAAAATCGACAACTAAAATAAAATCAGAACCAGATGGGAACTGTATCAGTTCCTATCATAATGGATGATCAAGCCTTAAGTTTTCTGGATGGCCTTCACTTATCCGATGGCAGGTCGCAAGAAAAGGTAAGTTTCACATCGTATATTTTTTTTTTTTTTATCAATCTTGAATGTAACACTTTAAAATGTCTATCTGATGTCCAAATATATCAATAACGTTGATACTACGCGACAATGTTATGTTCTTTAGCATTGTTGGTTAATGAAGTTTTAGTAAACAATCGGGTATTTACCGTTTTACTTTTAATTCTGGTATTTAATGTTTTATTTATTAAGTCTGTCTCCAATCAATACCATGACACAGATGTATTATTTAACTTTATAAGACATTCAAAAGTAAAAATGTAAAGAGATCAGTTATTCATTGTTATCTTGTGCGTTAAAGTGAAGTCTGTCGTATTGAAAAAAAACTTTAAACAACCCAAAATGTCACGTTTCTTTTTTAGTTTTTAAATTGCATCATAGTCACACGCTTTCACTAGATGTCTTTTTATATTTAGCTTATTAATTAAACTATAAAACACTCTTCCTTAAAAAAAAAAAAAAAAAAGACGTCGCTCACGGACTTAGATCTTCATTTTTTAATTAATATTTGAAATCGTTCCCTTTTACTTTATTTTTTTTTTTATTAAGTTTACACTCACACACAGATTAACAGCAACCCCCACCAAGAAAAAACGCTTAATCGAATTCCAATGAAGTCTTAACCGGCATTTCCCATTGTTTGATTTTTTATCTTTTTTTTTTTTTTTTTTAGATGTAGCACAAAATAAAATAAATTGACCTTCGAAAACAATAGTTTCACTTTTTCAAAGTTTTTGGTTTTGTTTTGGATTGCCATTAAACAGAAAAAGCAAAGCTTTCCTTTATTTATAAAATACCAACGTTGATGATTGTTTATTTTTATTATGAAATAGAACACAAAATTGCATCTGTTAATTCTCTGTTCAGGTGAACCTTTCCTACAATTTTGATAATATAAATCTTAAAAAGTGTATTGTTACTGTTTACAGTTTATGATTTTTTTTTTTAATCCCTTGTTGCTAATAAATTAAATAACTATGTTTATTTCCCTTAATGGTCTGGATCACTTCTCTTTAAGAAATAAACATGAGGTATGAATGAAAAGAACATATTTGCTTTAGTTTAACTCATCCGATTAACTAAACAGGCTTTATCTGAAAACTAAACTTTATTCATTTATTAAGGTATAGGTAATGAATAAAATGATACATAAATCATTTATGTAACATTTTAACACCAGACATACCATTTATAAATAAATGGTTATGTCTGGTGTGGTTACCTCCTGATACATAACAGTAACACTAACAGTCTCTCCTAGGTACAGAAACTCTGTCGGTTGCATGACCAAAGAAAGTTATAAAAGTTGAGTTGGCATTCTTTCTCTTTCGTATAAATCATTGTTACGTTATTACTAGTTGGCGAATAATAAAGAGTATTTTGCAATTGTCAATGTGAAAAGTAAATTAAAAAAACAGTTATTAAATAACGGATGGGTTATTAATCAACATACAAAAAAATCTAGCAAGTAATTTTTTTTTTTTTTTGGTCGTTTTAACAAGAAACCCTCAATTGAATTGAAAAATGGTGTATCACGAGCCAAAATAGTTTCTCGTGTCTTCTCCATAGTTTTTGTTTACTTAGGCGATTTGTTTGCCTGTGACTAAATTTCTCTGGAATTGATTAGTTTTCTCATACTCTTTGCTTGCATGAAGTTAAATGGCCCTATGGTGGAATCTGACCGAGGAAAATTCTGGGAAGTAAAAGTTCCATGACTAATTTATTTACTGTCTAGAAATGGTTTTCAGAAGTGGACAGGAAAATTCCCTTACATTGCTTTTAGTTTTTTTTGTAGTTTATTCTTAAAGTCACCCTTTTCAGAACAAAATGGCTGAAGACCTGGGTACAAAATTTTAGTAATTTATAAACTAGTGTGTTAATGTTATGTTCTTATTGTTTATTGTTAAACTTTGTTTGGAAAGTCATAAAAGCGGTCCTCAAATTGAATATTTGCATAGGTTCAAAAGAGCAATGAATGCGAACAGTTTTGGCAGGGCAGTGTTTTTTTTTTTTTTTGTCTTTGACAGCAAGTTAGATGAGCAAGATTAGAAGCTTCTTCAAAAATATCACAAGGAGGTTTTATTTAACAGTAAGTTTCACTAGATTAGAAGAAATCTCACGAGGAAAAATAGTTTAACGAAAACCATGTGATGTCGGATGTACTTAAACCCAAATGAGTTCCCGGCACCAAAGTGAGATTTACTCTGTTAGTGTTATCTAGTTATCATAACGAAAGAAAAAAAAAACAAAAAACACATACTCCAGATAGAACTCATAATTATTGATGAAAAATGCATTCGTGAAGCTAAGGAAAGACTGAAAGAGAAAGGTTTTGATAAAAATTTGGATGTTAAATAGAGACTTGCTTCTAAAAGTCAATCTATTCCGATAAATAGTCAGTTGATATAGCATTTTTGTCTATTTTTTGTGACTGCCAGTTAGTTTAAAAAAGAAAAAAAAAGAGAACATTTATTTCTTATTCCAATCCTCTTCCCTTATGTCTCCTATGCTACCTGTTTTTGGAAGACAGATTAAATCAAATCTGTTAACAGTTAAAAAACTGTTTGGGGTGTTTGTCTCGTTTTGCTTTTTAGCAAAACCAAAGCCTTACGAATTGTTGGAAAAATGTACTTTTTTTTTTTTTTTTTATCCACAACTTAAAGGTTGGACATTTATTTTTTTTTTGTAATGCTTATATACTGGTTTTGCTAATATTTTTGAAATAACTGTCTTACCAAGACATCATCAGTTGCATAATATTTCTTGTGCATTGAAAGATTGTAAATAGATCTCACCAACGTCAAATATTGCAAACTTTGACTTACTAAGAAGACCCCCACCTCCCAAAAAAATCCCTCTCTGAACATGAACAGTTGTACACCAAAATTAAAAATTATCCAAGCTGATTTCAAATTGATATTTTTATACATGGAAATGAAGAATGAAAAACACTTATTATTTGCATGATTTTGAGAATATGACTAAAAAAGGTTATAGTTCGCCTCCTAATACTAAAAACAAACTTTTAGTGAGGTAAGAGAACTGGTATGTACTGTGTAGTCAGTCAAGTCTGGGTGTTGCTGAAAATGGCAAACTCTTGAAAATTATTTACTAATCTTTCAGTAATCATTCGTTCTTCATGATTAGTCCTCAATTCAATTATCAGTTCGATCTCTTTATCTGCACTTTGAATTGCATTTATTTCCTTTTTTTTTTGTACACATTCATTGTGATTATGGATGGGCTTTAAAAACACGCCGTATAAAAGTCAATTTACGAGTGAATTGATGCAATTCATGAGTGACTATATGAACAGTGAACACCATTTTAAATCTGCTTTAAAAATAATGTTGTTGACCTTATTTAAATAAATTTCCCACTAAATAATAATCATTTCGATTTCACTGGCTGAATTTTTACATTTTTTTTATTCGTTCATATTTTTTTCTTTAATACAATTTCCTAATGGAGTATGGACGGAAGGCTTTAAGTTAAAATATTTTCTATCACAACAAAGTCGGTGGTTTATCATTTGCATTTTTACAAATACATATGATATGACTTTTTTATCTACTTTTTTTTGTTTTACCCGATCGTCATGAAATCGTCTCGTTTGTAGTCGTAACTTACTGTTGGTAGAAAAAAAAATAACAAAAACGAAACCTCTTTCCAGAAAAAAACAAAACAATTTTTATTTGTTTTTTTTGTTTTTTAAACTAATATTTTCTGAATTATTGCGTTTTTACAATACTCATCTTCCGATCACATGGTCAGGTCTAGGATTGCATCATGTCTGAAGGAGGAAGATTGTTTTGTGGTTTTTTCCAGATTCTGGTTATGCAATGCAACTGGAAATTAGCTTTGAATTGAAATTATGCCAATTTTTTTCCCGTTACTCTCTCTCTCTCTCTCTGACATTTACTTACGGACCCTTTCATTTGAAAAGGGAAACATTTTAAAAAGTAAATCTCTCTTAAAAAGAAAAAGAAAGCATTTTGTTTTTTTTACTGAGACAATATCCCGAACACAAATTATTTTATTAATCGACGACAGTTTCTTTTTTTTTTTGTTTTTCCTCTATTAGCCGGTATTTTTTTTTCTTTGTGTGTGTGTGTTTTTCTTCATTATTCGTCATATTTGATAAAACTATATTACAGCTGTTTAAAGCAAAAAGTGCTGTGACATTGTTGTTGCGACTATCAGCTGTTTGTATGAATCCGCTTCGGCTTATGGTTCTTGGCTTGCTTATATTGTCGGACGTAAAAAAAAAAAACCTTTTTGTTTGTTTATCGCGTTTAATTTAAAATTGTTTTTAAAGCAGTTATTATCTGTCTACTTTTTATGAAACCCAATAATTTATCTCTGAAAACTATCTCGGTTAATGTTTTTGTCAATTTCAGTGCCGAGAATTTGATTCATTACATGAATTTTCAAAAATCAAATTCAAAATCAAAGCGTTTAGGGACGGACCTCCACAAAATAAACAAAAAACGAGACCTAAGGTTTAAAAAGATTTTTTTTTTTTAAATGAAACTCGGTTTTTAAAGCTTTTATTTTAGTTTTAATTTCAACTTGAAATTTTCAAGCTTTTAGGTACCTACAAAAAATTTTCTTTAAAAAAAAAAAAAAAGCGCATACCATGATGAAAAAGACCTCCCCCCCTTAGAAAATTTGATAAAAATAAAGTTTTATCGTCTATTAGCTTGAAATTAAAATAATAAAAGCTTTAAGAAAGATTTTTCATTTTTTGATCCTCAGGTATTTAAAAAAAGAAAAAAAAATTGACTGAAAGGAGGTTTTTCCCTCTCCAATGAGTACCTCCACTAATTCGCTGAAAAAGGCCCCAGACGTAATAAAAACAAAAACCATTGATGAAATTCTTGCAAAAATGAAATAATTGTCGGATTTTTATGAAACTATCACGACTTATTCGCAAATGAAAGTTTTTTACATGTTTTTACCTCTCATTTAAATATTTTATGAAAATTACTGTTTGGTTTTAAAAATACATTTCTGTTTAAACTTAGATTAATTATACTTTATCTGAGGAATACTAGCTGATTTAAAGTTTCAGAAAGATTTTTTTATTTTTGGAAGATTTTTTTTACAGAATTAAGTTGCGATGTAAAAAAAAAAAAAAAAAAAAAAAGTGCTAATCAGCTAGTTTAGTAAAAAAAAAAAATCGTTTCCAATCAATATAGGATTGTGTTAAATAGCTGTTATGTGCATTTAAAACATTATTGAAATTGATGTTTATTGGTTTTTAATCAGGAAGATAGAAGAAAATAAGCAATATTTTGGCATATGCCTTTTTTTTTTTTTTTTTTTTTTTTTTAAGTGATCAAACAAATGTGCATTTGTTGAAAGTGATGTAAATAATCAAATATGTCAGAAATGGTTTATGTGCTTGAGATTTCTTGCCAAATGATGCTCCATAGTTGGGTAACCCAAGGAGTTGATATTGATCTAATTAAGACATTATTTGAGAATAATTGATACACTATACAATAAAATATTGGAATTAATTTTTGCCATCCAGCCTTGGTTATGTTAGTTATTTTGATGTTGTTTTCCACATGAGTAGGTATGGATAGTGTGTGGTTTGCTACTTATTCCATTTTTAAAGGTAATGAAAAGTAAATACTTTACAACAGAATGCAGGAGATTATAGGGAAAGTGAAATGAACCACTACTAATAGGATCAAAAACTGGTCTTCATTCAAAGAAGGTTGTGCTGTTCATATGGTAACTTTGAAATTGTCTTCTATGTTCCATCTGGAGAATCACATGATTGAACAAATGTGAAACTCTTAGATTACTGGAAGGCAGCAATTGTCAAAATTGTCTGGAATTAGTTGAAAGAAAGAACATCAGACCAGAGGTTTTTATAGTGTTCAAGTGTTCATGCAAGAATTGTTACAGCCTACAGTTAACTTTTCACTCCTTTGCCATATTCACCAGATATTTGGATTATTTATTATGGCCATTACAGAATTTTTTTTCACAAATTTCAATTCCTTGAAAGATGGCAAAAGATATTGAATATATTCTTCAGTTAATCCAGAATATATCTTGCTTACTGGCAAACCTGAATATTAAGAAGACTATACTTGGGATTTTTGTTTTGCTTGTTTTTCTTGGAAGAGCAAAGAAAAAGTACCAAGTATTTTCCCTTGTTTGTTTCTTTGTGTCTTAATATCTACTGACTGCTGATATAGTATCACATTGTTTCTAATTTAAACATTAATTATGAAGTTAATTGTTGAATTGTGCTCCCCCAACACCAATCAGAAATTGACTTTAATGTTTAAATTTCCTAAAAGGGCTCTCAGTTTGTATTCTACTCTGTTAGCTTGCATAATATAGTCAAACTGAATTATGTTGCATGTCTGCCATATATAAAGTTCCAAGATGAAAAAATTTGGAAAATGAGTTGATTCATCAACAAACTATAGATTTTGCTTCCTATATTGAAAAATTGCAACAAAGTGAAAAAGTTAAAAAAAACAAACGCATTCTTTTCATTAAGCACATATATGAACTAAATGTATATATTGATACAATCTGTGGTTATTTATAAAGATTAAGATTTAAAAATTTAAGTGGCAGTGTTTTGCTTCAGTTCCTTAAATTTCTGAGGAAATTATAAATCAATATTGTTGATAGTATTTGGTATGTTAAAATGTAAATGAATTATGTACCTCTCACACTTTGTGATTATTTCAAATTCTAATAGAAAGTGTTACTAATGGTTTCCTGTTGACAAAACACTCTATTTAATGAAGGTTTTTGATGTTGAACTGGTTTATGTAGGTTCTAAACAGTGTGGTTCTTTTATATAATTATAGGACTTCTGCAGTCCAATTACTGTTTTCTCATTTGAAGATTTATCTGCATATTCCTTAAAAAAAAAAAAAAAAAAAAAAATCATAAATAAACTACACTTTGTATTTATATATATATATTTATTGTTTTTTTTTTTATGTTTGTGTAGCTCCTGTCATACTTTGAACTTCTCAAACGATCAGATGATGGTTGGAAGTTGTGCATCACAGCATTCACCAGTGGCAAATACAACAGGTGGGCAGTCATTTCACTATTTTCTTTTTGTTCCTTTCTTTTGATTACTCTTCTTCCCTTCAACACCAATAGAAATTTATTTTTAAACTTTTTCGTGCAAATGTTTTTATTCCTTTAAATATTCAGTTAGAAACTTCCAGTATTTGAGAAAATTACTGTAATTAAATCTGAAATGTGTTTTAAATGAAAAGAGTTAATTGTACTCCTCATTTCCATTAATATTTTTATAAGTCTGGGTATTTCTGGGTAGAACTTAGTGGTTTCACTTGTAAATACCACAAGCATATTTACTAATAATGATCCGTTTCTTTTATTATTATTTGTGAAGAAATGAGTTTTTTGGGAACAATCATTTGAATCTCGTCAAATTCTTCCTATTCTGCTTTACTGTTATTTCAACTCATAAAATTTGGAAAATATAAATGGTTGCTAAATTCTTCTAAACCATATTAAAGAGCAAATGAATCACTTTTCTGGCTTTCATTAAAATACTATTCTATCTTTGAATCACATTTATTTCTTTTGAAGCCTCTCTGAAATTATTCTTGGGAAGATGACTCTTGCTTTCCTCTTGGGTGAATTCTTGTTTTCATAAGCTCAATTTTTCTACTAGGTGTACTTTACTGAATTTGATGGGATTGTGTAACCCACACATCCTCTCTTGGCACTCTTCTCTGTCTCTTCTCCTCCTCTCAGTTGCTAACTTTATGTAATACCAAACTTATGGGTCATCTGGCTATCTTTTTCCTCCTTGATTGGGGCTGGTGTGTTGTCGAATAGGGTTTATTTGGGTTTCCAAAAATTTTACTATATTGGGGATTGATGGGAAAGTCTAGTGTGGACCCATCTATGTAAACTGTGTACCAGAGACAAGATTGTGTAATTCCTGTGTGTTACCGTAATATTTTTTGTCTCTTTGCATCCAATGATCATGTTAGGAATCAGAACGCCTTCAATAAAATGCACAACACTGTTGATAACTCTTAACAACATCTTTATTTAATATAAAGAAAATCTGGTTAAATAAAAATATCCATTATCTATTGCAAAATCAAGAAATCCAGTTGCAAAGGCTAAAGTAATACCCATCCAATTGACTCTCGCTCAATTCTTATGCGTGTCTCTGTTTTTGCTCTTGCTTGGGAATTGTAGGTGTGCTCTTTAGTGATGACGGTCTTACGAGCAATCCTGGGCATCTGAGCTGAATTCTGGGCCTGTCACTGTCTGTCTCTCAGCTCTTGCCATGGGAATTATGTGTATGCTCTTAGTGGCAATTGTCTTACAAGCAATCCTGGGCATCTCTGAGCCGATTCCCTCTTGGGCCCATTTCTGTCTGTCTTCAGCCTGGGGAGTTCTCATATAAAACTCTCCTCTTATTTGACATTGATATATCTAACCCAGACTGTCTTAGGAGATCTTGTTAAAAAAAAAAAAAAAAACTGTATGGTAATCTCTTTGTTTAGAATCTTCCTAGATATCTTTCTGTAAAGATAATTGTGTTCTTTGGTGATCAACATAAAAAAAAAAAATTTCAAGCTTGGGAATTAAACAAAATTCAAAGTTCTTCTTTGTCTAGAATAATTTGTAAGAACACACATTTTGGACAGATAGTATAATATAAACAAACCCTTCAAACTTTATTTCTCATAACTAAAGAAATTTGGACAACACACTAATCATATCTTACCGATAGGAAGTGGATAAGGTAGGAAACCTTGGTTTTGCTCAGCTTTACTGAATCTTGGGTAGTTAATTCTGGGTTTAATTTTCACTAGAACAGTTAAATTCATTTTATTATTTTAAGACATAAATTTTAACTTTTTTTTTTTTTTTTTCCTCAACCATTCAACTTACCTGAGAATTTTAATTATTATCCAATTAGCAGTTGCTCCACATCACCTTTCTGTAATTTCATGCAATTAAATGTTTAAACAAGGTCAGTGTACTGTTATGAAAGAAGGTTGGAATTGCTGGTATTTGGATAGCTAGAGATTAGTAATTTGGGTATTCATAGCAAAAAGGCTTCATTTGTTTGAAATCCGTCATCCTGGTAGGAACAGTCCTCAGTTAAAAAAAAAAAAAAATAGAAATAACTTTTTGAAAGTTATAGTATTTTCAAAGAAAACACTTGGTGTTTTTATAATTTTTGTCAAATGTTTTTGTAATTATTCTGTTGATCTTCAGACCAAATGAAAGTGATATCTACTTTAAGTAAATTTCAAAATGGAAGGAAAACAGTATAAGCAACAACCAATGATTTTGGTGGTTAATTATAGATTCATTATGTCAATTTTGCTAAATGTAGTTATCTTTTTGATATTTGCTATTGCTTTTTGTTATGAATTATGAAGGTATTTGTGACCCTTAATAATTAAGCTTGAACTGACTTAGATTTTAAGAAGCAGCAGTTTGTCATCTTTGTTTCCTCAAAGTTGTACATCAACTATGACCTTCCTTGAGGGAAGTAGCTGTCATCTTGTTTCCTGATCTGTCAACTTTTACTGGAGATAGTTCATCCATTGTCCTGGCCACATTTCACTATTGAATTACAACAGGTCATTTGCAGGGAAGATGCTTGCTAAACACATCCCTTTGCCCTTAATTTGGGCTATTAGGTCTATTTAGAACAGCTGAAAAGAGTTGACTTTATAATCTTGTGTCTATAAAGCAATGAAATATCTGGCAATAGTCCATTTTCTATCTATACAATTTGATTAGTGTAGAGTTTATAAATGTAAATCCAATCAGTATAGGTAAAACACTACCAAACACTTGAGATTCGAGCACACACACACACACACGTGTATGGTTGTTTCAGCTGCTTTAGAGATTTCCATTTAGGTTTGATTGCTAGGTTTCTATTTATAAACCTGGTCAAGTGGTTTCTTTAAAGTTGGTAATATTAATCTGATTTACAAATACTAAATGTGGCAATGTTTGAAAAATGTCTTCATAGTTCTCGGTTTTTTGGTTAATAATTTTAATCTTGCCACTTGGGGATCCTTGTTGGTAAAACTTAAAGTATGCCAACTGCATCCCCTGTAGAGTGTGGACTTGGGTATCAATCAGGCCTGTCTTCTATTAATTGTGATTTTTGTCCCATGAGAATTATATTTAACATTAAATAATCCCAAGAAGGTTATAGCCTAGTCTACAATTCAGGTATTCTGTTACTAGCATCCAACTGTTTACTTACGTCCTGGGTAAGACATTAAACTATGTCCAGCAGCAAGGCCTCTGTTCAGGAGGTTTTGAGGAGCGTGGAACCACCTCTTCATTGCTGGTGTTCTCAGGTCCACCCTGACCTGGGGTGGTAGCACCTGTTAGGGTCCCAGCTATGGGCAAATGGTTAACTATTACCAGCAATACTTTTTTGAGACAAATTATTACCAGCAATACTATTTTGAAGGAAAGATATTACCAGAAACAAATTTTTGACAAAACAAAATATTACCAGCAATAAAAAAAATTTTGTCAGCATTAAATAACCCATTGAGGTTGATATGCCATAAAACAAATAAACCAAAGAACATGTATTCTATTCATACGAATCTATCCTAAAAATTTTGTCGGCATGAAATAAACCATTGAGGTTGATATGCCGTAAAACAAAACGGAATAAACCAAACAAAACCAACTGTTTACTTGTATTGTTGCTCCATTGGCATTACAGTTTTAAAACTTTTTCTGACTCACTTAAAAATTGTTTTGAAGTTTTGAAAATATGAACCTTGGAGAGTTTGACTATTTTTCTTGATTGTGAGGTGTATTGCAGGTAGTTTAGTTTGTTAGCAACCATCTCTTGACTTTTTTTTTTTTTTTTTTTTTTTTTTTGCTAGTTTATGATGATTATGTCAAGATGATTCTTCTGACAAAAGCTTATTTAAAATAAGCAAGTTAGTATCGTCTAACCTTATTCATTAAGATTCAAGACTGGACAATAAATCTAAGTGTTCCTGTCAAACTAGCATTATGACCAAACTGTTTACTTTTGTCATCTGAGCTAAATGTCTATTGCTTTTAAATAGAACAACCCAATGCATTCTCCTAAATTTTGTCTTTAATTAATTCTTCCAAGTGATAATTAAGCTATTTAATGAGAATTCTTAATTATTTCTTATTGTTATGCATTGTGTCTTAAGAATGTAGAATGAAATAAAACTGGGTCAATCTCAAGTATAAAGTGAGAATGTGTATATTTAATGTTGACAAAGATGCAAACAGTAATTAAGCATTTTTTTGAGTATGCTGTTTTGAAGAGTATAGGTCAGGGTAAACCCCGCCCCTATCCTGATACTTCTCAAATGTTGTCATATTTAAATAACTGATTAGTGTTGTTTGACTTTTGACTTACTGTGTCCATGTGCAAATGAAAACACCTAGTTTAATGCCAGTTGGTATGAGGTGTCCTGAATTTTCTTTTCTTTTTTCTTATATGTGCATCTCTATACAATGATAATAATCTTTTCGCTTTGTAACCTGATAAAAAGCAAGTTAGCTCGTTTAAATTCTCTGATGTAGTGGATTAGGGGGGAAAAATAATCCCATTCAAGTAACACATTCTATCCTGCTGCATTCCTAATGATAAAATTTTGAGGTTGCATTTTGTTGTGCTTTTGTCTGTCATATTTCTGAAGTGGTTCTGGGTATGTGGGTGGTGACATGAATGACAGTTCAGAATGAGAAATCGGAGAGCCAGGTTTGAATTTCAGTTGGGGTTGTTACATTCAAGTATGCCCAAGTACTCTTGGGAAAGATACAAATCCATTTCATTCACCACCAGCTATGGGTTATATAGGAAATATTCACTTGCAAAAAAAAAAAAAAAAAAGAATCATTCTTACAATCCAAAATATATTTTGGCTTTAAATGACCCATAAAGGGTTGAGAAGAAATAAAAAAAAAAAAAAAAAAAAAAAAAAAAAAAAAAACAATTTTGAAGTTCTTTTTACATACATTTTGGATTTATATTTGTAGACATTAGCTGAGTTGACAGAAATTCCTGAAGGTAGTGGAAAAGCAAACCACTCTCTATATGCAGTTATTGCATCATCAAATAATTTTTTGGCAACTGAATATTTTTGAAAATAACTGGACTATGAATTCATCCTTTCTCTTATTTATATTTGATTTTTTTTTTTTTTTTTTTTTTTTTTTTGATTAGCCTCTGCATTTTATTGTAAGTTAGGTTCTTGGAACCTAAGTTTGTCATTTTTTTTCTCAGTACATCCATTCAAAATAATGATCCTGGGAGTAGTAGCTTCTGGAAAGATTAATAGCTCAATGTGGTAATATCTCTGAATGAGTATTGGAAATTATTTCCTATACTTATGTACATTGAATCAGCTTTGTTTGCAAAATGATAAGCCAGAGAAGGTCCCTACATAAGTAGATAAGTGCCTGTCAGGCTTTGATAGGGATGGTGGAAAATTACCTTAAAAATAAACACTGGGTTCTTCCTATTACTATACTCAATTTGTTTGTGTGTTACTGTAAAGTTTTTCTTAAAGTAGGGGATAATGAAAGATGATTTAAGTAGAGATGATGCCAAATGTTTGTGTGCTGCATTTTGAATTTATTAACTTTTGCTTAGTTTGATACAAGGCCAGAAGTTTAGGCAGCCAGTGAAGATCAAATTCATTACTTGGTAGTAATGGTCAGCTAGACTAACCTGCTAACCATTACCTATTTTATGCGCTCCAGTTAGAATGGAAATAAATTCAATAATAAATGGTTTGTGAAATGAACAAAGTAATCCTAAATATATGAAAAACAAATACTGGGAATAATGAGTGCTGAAGTAAAGGTCTTTTTGTTTTGTTAAATATAAATAGTTGATGTTTGGATGAGAAGCCAATTTTAACATTGTAAGATGCAGACTTCAAACTAGTTAAAAATCATAAATGCGGTGTCATATAGGTAGTCTTGAAGTAAAAGAAATATAATACTAATCGAATTAATAATTATTAGATAAGACCAGCCTAAACATGGGGCGGGGGGAATTGTGTTCTCAAAAATGAAATAGTTAAGGCATTACACTTAAGGGCACTTTTGACTGATCATATAAGTTTCATTTCAACAGTTAATGCCTTGCAACTTTTTCCTATACTTCATAGCACAACAGAGGTGAAGCTAACTGTTTTTCAGTACTATCTCAATAAAAAAAAAAACAAACAAAAAAACAACTATATTTACACCAAAAAAGGGAGAAGTGCAATTTGGCAATATGGCAAAAACAGGTAAAAAGTATTGAATATTGAATTTACCATAAAAAGGTATCCATTAGAAGTACATGCCTGAAGCTTATTAATTTGGAAATAAGGAATTCAACAGAATAGCTCTTTCCTCTGTAATATCCATACTTTTTTGTAATATATGTATCTTTTGGAAAATTTTGAATTTATATCCTTTTTAAATTGTCAGGAACAGGACAGTAATGACTACAAAACTTTAAAAAAATTTTTACAAAAGGAAGAAAAATATTTTATAATAGGTCTTTAAACTTTTCGGTTTTAAACTTATAGAAAATACTCTCTTGATATTGTGAATGGTTCTCCTACTTCTCTCCCAATGGTGATTTGCTGACTGAATTTATTAACTGCCTCTGATATGGCTAATATTTCTGGAACACTCCACATTCAACCATCACTTGAAACTGACATTAAAGAGATGTGAAGTAAAAACTAATCAACATACACAAGAAAGAGTTCTATCATTATAAAGAGAAAAGATTAAAATTTGTTTATATAATAACTTTATCAAAATAGCCTTGAAAAATAAATGAGATATCAGCTGTTGAGTTTGAAGGAAATTTCACTATTTTAACACATTTTTGCAGTTTGGGATACATATTAAAATAGTTTGTAGTTTGGCTAAATTATTTTGAGTTTCCACTTACGAGAATTATGAAGTGCATTTTGTTAGGGCAAGTAGAAAAAAAATTGAATTTAAAGGACCCTTTAAGTCTTGTTAGTAAATGTGACCCAAATATTTTGAAAATGACAGAGCAGACAGTAAGGTGAGGGTGAGTATATTTAATTCAGTCTGCAAATTCAATTTGAAAGGGGTCATATTGGGCTTCATATGCTACTTTCTATTTGTATCCTGTAGCTTTATAATACAGATTGGTTACATTGGAGACACTTGTTTGTAATGTTTAATTTATTTCGCATAAGAATATTGTCTCTGTTTTCCTTTCAATTTGATTCTGTTACTTTTGTTCATGATTTGTTCCTTGTATCTATTTGGCTCATTCCAATTGTTTAATATGTTGAGGTTTTTATCAAGATTCATTCAATTCTTAAAATTCAGTGAAAAACAGATCTGGCTTTTTAAAAGATATTGGATGTCACACTATGTTCAGCAATAAATAGGTACATTGTTTCTCAGATCTGTTTGCAGTAAATCTATAAAATTTATTTAGTTTTGTCCAAGATCATAATAATGAGGCATTTAAAAACACTTTCTCACAATGCCTTGCAAGATAAACTTGCTAGTCATTATTCTACAGTTGCCACCACCAAATCGTTAATTGTATTACTTTAGTTAGAGGATTAAATAATCTAACACTTTTGCCCTGGCCCCCTCAACCTCTGGCGTTTTACTCTCGGGGTTGAGGTGTCTACTCGGTCTTAACTTAAGTGAGTGGACATAGGTCCCCTGAGCATCTGTAGATTATTTGACTGATCCGCTGGTTTAATCCTGCTTTTTGCTCATGTGATTTGTTTGATCCATAAAGCAGAAGTGATGTCCGTCCATTCACGGTCGACTGAAGATGTAGACACGGCTGGGGAGTCTGTGTTGAGAAATTTAGAATGCAGCAAAAAAAAATTAATATCTGCAGAAAGCCGGATAAACATCGATTCAATGGTTGAATTGTTAATGTCTTTTATATAGCAGAATAGAGAAGAGAAACAGGTTACAGAAAAGAAAAAAAAACTTGTACACTGGATTCTAGACAGAGAGAGAGTATGTGATTATCTTGTTGTTAAATCATCTCAGAATGATATATGACTCTTGCAATAGAGGGATAAAGATTTGTGTGCAGGGCTTAGTTATAGTGGCGTTCCTCCTCCCAACGCTTGCCCCCGGGCCAATTCTCTCTTCTCTCTTCAAGAATTTTCTCCTGTCTGGCTTTTTCAGCATAACTATGCTTTTATACAGATAAACCAGGCTAGTTATAACTGAACCATGTCCCTACTACTTCGCATGCAATCCTCACAGGGTTTTGGCTGTTTCAACCAAAATCATGTGAATTCCAATTTCTATTTCAATTTTTAATCAATAAAAATTTTGACCATTTCCATTGTCTTATTTACCAGCTATCAGAAATTACTTGTTTATAAAAGAAATTAAAGATTGCTTTTCTTTTTTGCAGTGATAATGTAAGATTTTTTTTCTTGCAAGTTCTTGAGTCTTACATACATCAGAGGTAAGTAAATATTTTATGTTTTTCTAATCTGTTTTTGTATTTGAAACAAATATTCTTATTTGGTGAAATAAGCAAGAAAATGGACAATGTGTATTTTGTAACTATTTTGACATTAAATTCACTTTTTTGAAAATGATTCAGGTTTAAGTATTAATGAAAAATTTTCTTTCTTGCAATTCCTAAAACAATATTATATCTAAATTTGCTGAAGCTTCCTTGATTAGTAAAATTAACATTTCACCTGATAAGTGATTGGGTGGATGGGTTTATCTGATGATAGTTTTGGCAATAAGAATAAGTTTGATGAAAACCGGCAATTTGTTTAAGATATAGACATGTTTTTAAAATAATTGCAGAGAAAAGTGGTCATTTCTGCATCTTTTTCCTTGTTTCTTGAAAGGCATAATATTAAATTTGTGAAAGGATTTGGTAACAATATGTAAAGATTTGTATAGCCATTTCATGATGATCCAAATGACCGAGACCTTTTCCTAGATTAGAAATTCTCAAGGAAAAGAGGAGGGTTAATGCAATGAGGGAAAAAATCAAAGAATGGTGTGTAGTTTTGTTTATTCTTGAATTCCTTTGTTAGAAAAGACTATAAATTGAAAGTGTTCCTCTGTGATATGAATACAGAAAAGGAATAATTAAACAAAAACTTTCCCACTCCTTGGTTGTAACTATGGCAGTTGTATTCATAAAGTTTATTCAAAGCCACTCTATAATTATGCTTTAAAAAGTTAACATGAGATTGGATCTTTTTTACTAATACTGGTTTTGCTACCAATTATGACTATAAATCCTGAACTTTTTAAGATTAGAACATATTGAATAATATTCTCCATGAAGATTTTGCAAAGGACATTTAAGAACAAAAATCAATGTCTTGATTATTATGTAACAATTATGCTAAATAGCTTGCCTAATTATTTTGTGCAGAAGTAATAAATTTATCAAGGATTTGTAATTGGAAAGTTGAAGGGTGAGCTGGATTTGGTCACTAGAATTTCTTGTTTTGAACAGGATAAGAATGCTAGATTCATAAGGAAATAGTTTGGGGTGCATTGCTAACAAATGAATGATATTGAATCTTTTGGAAAGAAAGTTTGATTTTGTTGATAACACTTCAAAGAAACCCAAATGTGATTAAAATAAATGAACTGACAATAAAAATGTAAAGTTTGATTTATCATTTTTTTATTTTATTTTTTTTTCTGTGCAGGTATCACTTGGCAGGCACAGAAGACCAACAAATAGTGCGTGCTTTTCTAATCACTTGTCTTCAAATGCAGGTAAGCTATTAAAAGGTTTTGTGTTATTATTCTTAATGTAACTTTTAGTTTTTGTTTTTTAACAAGATGCTGTAATTGTAAAAAAGTTTTATCATTTCATTGAATAAGATTGTAGGTTGGTGTTCATGTACCTTCTACTTGGATATTTGTAGCTTATGTTTATTTTGGATTTTCAAGATAGGTACCAATTACTCTATAATTAAATAATGGAATCTGAATTTGTGAGAATTACAATGTATTTGGTAATGGATGAAGTTAAAAGAATTATGAAAAGCATTTAATTACAAAAAATTGAATTAACACCTGGAATTGTTTGAGTTTCATCTCCTAGCTTAACAGGCTTTTTAGCTCATTTAAGCTATTAGGATCAAGTAAAAAAAGGAGCACCTAACCTCTCACCTTCACTTGCTGCTAGAAAAATAACAATTGAACTCAACCAGGTGACCCACTGGGAAAGAATTGTACTTAAAATTCAGTAAAGGAATTGTTTTTTTTTTTTTTTTTGTAATATCCCCACCTGCACAATTCTGCCTTTTTAAAGGTTCAAGAGGTCAAGCTGAAGCAAAGATTCAGTTGACCACTTTGGTTATGTGATTGGATGCAGATTACACTAAAACTCTACTTTTGACTCTGTTGCTATTCAAATATGCATATTGATTTTGTAACTGATGCTTGAAAGCAACTAAGATGAAATGATTTGAATAGGAGGAAGGTCTGCTCAGATCATTAATCACAATGTTAGTGAGAAGACTGCTAGTCAAATTCCTCACACCCCATCATTTAACAAATAATCTTTAATTTTTTTTTCTTTCTAGATGATTTCTGTGGTTTTGTGAAGACACTGAAATAATACTAAAATTTATAAAATAAATAATTCTTTAATGTGATCAAAACCTTTTGATTGTTTATTGTAAAATTTAATGAAGAAAATTTGCCTGTTTTCCTTAATTTTTCTATTTTGTTTTATTTTCCTCAGGCCTCAGGAGTGACTAAAGATAAATCATTTCTAAAGAACAAGATTGCACAACTCTTCTCACTCGCTTTCCTTGTCGACTTTCCTCATCGTTGGCCCAATTACTTTGTTGACATTCTTCATGCTTCTTCCTTTGGCCATGTTGCAGTTGAGATGTACCTTCGTATTCTTTCAGCTATTGACTGTGATGTAGTGGATCGAGAGATCATCCACACTAATTCTGTAAGTACCTTTCATGCTTAAGCTTACTTCTTTTGACTGCTGTTTTATGTAATTTAAACCTCGACACTTCTAATGTTACAAAAGGCAGAGTTCAGCAATATATACATAAAGTATATATGTGTGCTCTGTGCTGTAGGTCATCTGAAATAATCATCTTAATCCAAGAGAATTTGATATTGTATTTATGCATACAAACATGAATTATAAATATTAATTAAACTTCTCAATAACTAACTTAGCAGAAACGTGTATGCATTGAAATAGTTATTTGGCAATTTATTTTTTATCTAACACAGTTGATACAAAATATGAACTATTTTCCTGAAATGATTTATTTAAATTCGTGAATGGCATCGATGTGATTGTAATATGGTAATGACTATCTTTTTGTAGGAAACTGAAAGAAACACTAATCTGAAAGATGCCATGAGAGAGCGTTGTGTTCCACAATTAGTGGAGTCCTGGTTGCAAATTATGGTAAGTCAAAAAAAAAAAAAAATGACTGTTTCTTGTTCAAATGTGCTTATTTCTAGAGAGGTGGATTAGAATCCTCTGTTGTCTGCAGTGGCAACAGCAAAAAGACAATTTGGTTTGTGGGCATGAGGAATATCTTGACAGCCTCTAAGTTTGCATAGTTCAAGCCTACTCTTGAACCAGTTTCCTTTCATAATATTGTCAGCATCTTTGACACTCTAGTAAGTTACATTTTAAAAATGGCTGTGGAAACACAACATGCATATGTAGTTGTGGGAGAAATATTCCACAAATTATCACATCATAGTGGTTGAGTTACTCTGATATTTTTGGTTTCATTGCTAGCCAAAGGCATCACTGTTGATGGAAGCACCTTGGTGTTGCTGCTGATTGCCTGAAAAAATGTTTTATGCCCCTGGTATTTTTGTACGGTATTTCGGAAGTGGGTACATGGAGCTGGATTAAATTATGACCTGTTTTTGTCATATGAGCTGTGAATGTTTAAGTGAGCACTTCTGTTTGACTTAAAGAATTTGAGTTCCAACAGAGAATGGCACTTCAACTATACAAATAATTCCTCTTACTCAACAGGCAAGTTTCATTTGGTCCAGAAAGAATAATTAGCTATTTGTTTTAAGTTTTATATTTACAACTAATTATATCAATATGTCCAGCTTGATTAAACCATAACTATAGCAGAAATTTGTGTTCAGTTTAACTGAGCCATAGAAGCCAACCTTTCATTCTTTCTTCATTCTTCAAAAAAGTAAATTTTGCCTTCTGCAATACTTTGCTTTTATTACCTCTGTTCTTTTTATTTTCTCTATCATGTTTTTATTTTTCAATAGAAGAATAAGATCAATCCCCTTCCTGCCTTTTATTGGATATCATTAACTAAAGTTAATTGTAAAAACCAAGCAACAGTTTCTTCTTGGGTATTTGAAATTTTTTGTTTCAACAGATTCCTTTCTTTTCTGCTTTTGCATAGCTTCAGATGATCTTTACTTTTCAAAGGATACTAATGAGAACACTTTATTTTTAATTTAGGAATAATTCAGTTTTTGAGTTAAATATTTTACTTAGTTCCATTTTATGCAAATTAAGCTGTATATTTCAACTTTATCAAATGTGAATATGTAGTCAATACATTATCATGCCATTAAACCTGAATATTTTAACAATTTGCTGTTAAACCTTAGATATGTTTGATAATTTAAGCAAGGCTGCAGTTTCCTGACAAAAGTAGCTTATCTTGTTTTACATTTTTGCCTTATCCAAAGGAATTGACAGTCCAAAAGTTAATTCTAGATTAAAAAAAATCAATTCTTCCTTTTATCTATAAGAAGTTATAGAAAGTTCCCTGTTTCCTCTGCAAAAAAGTTTGTTCTATCTGAGCTAAACAAAGTCAGAGGACAACATAAGTTTTCTGAATTTTCCCTTTGTCCTGGGTAAGACATTAAACTGCATCTGGCACTGTTAGCGGGGCTTCAGAATATGCTGACTGCACCTCTGCAGTGGGGTAGAAGTCCCTCAAGGAAACCAAAGTTTATTTGCTGTTTCATGTTACTACATGTTAGTTCTTGGATAATAAATCAAAATCGACAGCGACTCAAAACAGTACTTGGTGTGAGTATAACACTGGTTGTCTATCCCCATCTCAACCAAGGCGATTGGGATTCCCCCTTAGTATATATTCCCAACAAGAGTTGGACTCCGTGGTGGGTGATGGAGCACAGAAACAGTGAATAGTTCTATTTAAATTATAGAAAGACAAACCAAAAACACCCAAAAGAAATCTCTTTGATTCTGAGTCTGAACCAGAATCTACAGCTGAATTCCCAAGATTCATTATAATTCAATCTAGATGAAAAGCAACAAGACCAACTTTCACCTTTTTTGATAGAAAAGGTAACTTTTAGTTGGTCCGATCCTGAAAATGCGAAAAAAAACTCTGAAGTGGAAACCTACTAGTAGAAGTTAAAAGTAAAAAAAAATACGCGCAGAATTTACTGAAAATGAAGAAATTTCATAACTCGGACTGTAAAGCCTAACCACATGAAAAATTAAATACATCCAAAAGCACTATTTACATTGCTTGGACTATCATCCTCATCTTTGTTGCCATATTTATTACATTGATAGTCTGAGTAATGTAAATAGTGTACATAATAGCTCATTTCTGAAATATAGACAGATGCATTCAAAAGCACTATAAGAAGTTGAGATCTTTCTCTAGCAACTCCAGAAGAAATGAAGACTATCTCACCATTTATAAGAATAGTAGAGCCAAAGCCAGAAAAATCATAAAAAAATTATGTTATCAAAATAGTAACACTAAACCAAAAAAGGTATGGCAGATGATATGAAAAATAATACTCCTACTAAATATCTCATCCACAATAATGTGAAGATTACTGATAAGAATGATATAGTAAACTATCTAGCTGACACTTTCTTGCAAAATTCATCCTCCAAAAACTAAACCTAAAAGTTTCAAACAATCAAAGCAAAAGTAGAAAAAGTAAAAATCAAATTTCAAAGCAAAAATACTGAAAACTATAATCAACCTTTCTCTAAAAGAGACTAGAATTCATCAACTGCCCCCCCCAATCTTTTTGTTGAATGCGAGCCACCTTTGCATATGTGGAAAGGCAGACCAAAGCAAAGAGAGCAATGAAAGATAACAAACACAAAAATTCCATGTGCTGATTATAGGACTGTGATCAATAAAATGATCGCAAATAAATGGCAAAACCAGTGGTATACCCTCACTAATAACAAATTTCTGAACATTAAACCCCCCCCCCCCCCCATTGGAGAATGGAACACAAAATACAATAGAAGAGAACAGGTAGTGCTGACCCACCTTCACATAGGTCACACCCATCACCATTTACTAGAGTGTGCAGAACCCCAACATGTACTACATGCTAAGACAGTAAAACATATATTGCTGGATTGTGTAAACTTTGACCTAGCTAAAGGAGAACATTACCAAGAAAACAAAGCCATCCAAGATGTTAAATTTTCTAAGAGAAGTGGGATTATAATAAAAACAAAAAAATGAGAACTGTACAATGATATTCCAACTATATACACCTACAACATTTAGTCCTGTACCAAAATTATTCTACAAGGAATGATTATTTTATCTCTACAAACTTATTCTAAAACCTATGTCAGCATTAAATGACCCATTGAGGTTGATGTGTCATAAAACAAACAAGTTGAATTTTCCTTTTTTGCCATTGTCATTCAATATCATTTTTTTTTTTTTTTTTTTTTTTCCCCATTTACAGACGACATACCAAACCAGTCATCCTGATATCACCTGCCTGTGCCTAGATGTTGTTGGCAAATATATTTCCTGGATTGACATCAACCTGGTGGCTAATGAACAGTTTGTCACTGCATTGCTTTCTTTCTTTAGTCATTCACAGCTTAGAGAGAGTGCATGTGATTGCATCCATGAAATCATCTCAAAAGGAATGGAGCCAGTGGCAAAAACCAAATTGATTGAATCATTTGCTTCTGTACTTAACAGTGCTGGTGTCATGTGTCCTAATGATGTGAGTATCCCTTTTAGGAGGCTGTTTTTTTTTTATTTGAATTTATAGAGATTCTCAGTTTTGTCATTGACTTGTAAACTTTGAACTCTTCACCTTGTTCTTTTTTTGTTATTATTTTTCTTTTTTCTTTTTGTTTCTTTTTCATTTTTTTAACTTTTGTTTTTTTTTTTTTTTTTCCTTTTATTTATTTATTTATTTATTTATTTATTTTTTCATTTCTTTCTATTTTTTTTCATTTCTTTCTATTTTTTTTTTTTCTTTTTTTTTTTTCATTTTCTTTTATTTTTTTTCATTTCTTTTATTTTTTTATTTCTTTTTATTTTTTTATTTATTTTTTTTATTTCTTTCTATTTTTTTCATTTCTTTCTTTTTTTTTCATTTCTTTCTATTTTTTTCATTTTTTCATTTTTTTTTCATTTTTTTTTTTTTCATTTCTTTCTATTTTTTTTCATTTCTTTCTATTTTTTTTCATTTCTTTCTATTTTTTTTCATTTCTTTCTATTTTTTTTCATTTCTTTCTATTTTTTTTCATTTCTTTCTATTTTTTTTCATTTCTTTCTATTTTTTTTCATTTCTTTCTATTTTTTCATTTCTTTCTATTTTTTTTTCACTGCAAATGTTTTGATAAGTAAACACATTTTAATAATCTTATTTTATATCTCCAATATTTGCATCATCTGTCATATAAAGATAAAAATAAAAAAATCATTAAGTATTTACTGATAACAAGTTAATTCATTTGTCTATATCTTTGATCGGTTTTTAACTTTCGTAATCTGTATAACTATAAGATTGGTTAGTATTGATAGGTTCGGCATCTCTGGAATTTTTTTACAAAATACTCAAAATATATAACATTGTAGATTATTAAATCTATGTTTCATCATATGGGTTTATGACCACCAAAGGTTTATGATAATTTCCCAAATTAGAGCTCCTACATTTGACATGTTATAAAATTGATTCTGAAAGGAATATAAACCCTTTTGGATAGAAATAAGTGTGTGTGTGGGCATGCATAAAATATTTTAAGATTATTTTTTTTTTTTTTTTTTTTTTTTATTTATAGGGAGAAGAAGGTGATTATCTTGCAAGATTGGCTAATCTTGTTAATGGAATGGGGCAAAACCTTATCTACTGCTATCAAAAGTGAGTTTGCTCTTTTCTTTCTGTAATCATTTTTGCAAAATATTCTGTACTTGGAATAGGACAGTGACTAAGTTTCTCTTAATGCTTACAGTAAATGGTTGTTCTACTTTTAAGACACTTTAAGCATTCTTTTTTTTTTTCCGTTTTAAAATCTAAAGTTTATAAAATTTAACTTTGTTTTTTTTTTTAATCCTTGAACATTTCTTTGTTGCTTGAAGGTTGGTGAAATCTGCTGACATGGTCAATGCAATGACCACTCTTCATGCAGTTGAGAGCAAAGTACCGCTTATTCTACGTTTCCTCAGCCATGAAGATGATGATATTTCTGAAGCTGTGATTGGCTTTGGGCAAGACTACATAACCCTTCTGAAACAATCTCCTAGTCTCACCCAACGCCAACGGGAAGATGTCGAACAAATGCTTTACATCATCATTAAGAAAATGAAATATGATGATACATATAATTTTGATATGGAGGTAAGAATGAAAATCTTTTTTTAAATCCAATTCAGTTGAAAAAGTAGTTGAATCAAAACTATTGTGTTTATTGACATATAAAACTCTACCCCTATCCTTCATTTACAGTTAATCGTAGTAACTACAGTTAGTAGTTGAACTACTAATGCTTGGTTGAAGTTTATGGTATCTGGATAAACTTTAAGATCTGAGAGAGATTTTTGAGTCCTTCAAGTACAGTATTGTTTCAGTTTTAAAAAAATCAGTTTGAAATTTTAATTTCATGTTTCTTAAAATGAACAATTTTCACATTTGTAATTTAGGCAATTTGTTTATTCAGACTCAAAATTATTTTTATTTCTTCATTAGAAATTCACTTTCAAAGATCAAAATTAGATTCTGTATTTTGATATTTGCATTTTTTTTAATTCTGAATGGCACAAAAACTTGTGGAATTATTAATTAAAATAGTAAATATTCTTTTCACTTGTTAGGGTGAAGAGGAAGCCATGTTTCAAGATTACAGGAAACAAGTGAAGATTATTTTCAACAACCTTGCTCAACTGGTCAGTTTTTCTTTTCAGTTATTTTGTAATTATATAATTTTTCTTTTCTTAAAATCTAAATCTGAGCTAATATTAGCTTTTTTATTTTTATTACTTGATAGGATTCAAACATGGTAGTGAGGAACGTGCATACTATATTGACCAGTACTCTCCCCCAATGGAAGACATTGGATTATTCTGATGCTGAGATGTCTTTGATGCTTCTTTATATGCTTGGAGAAGCCCTGCCTGTAAGTAATACAGTTTCTCCCTTTCCTCCTCCTCCTCCATGTACACTCTTAGGTTCAGTTTGGTAATTTCCTTTCACTTTCATTCAATATCCACCTAAAGCAGAATATGCTTCTGATTTCTTCAATCGGGACACAAATTCAAAATGGACTCTGTTCAAATTTAGTTATTTCTGCCTCACCTAATGAATTTCATATTGGATAAAGCAATAGACTGTCAGCATGTCAATATTTTCACAATAAAATTGGTTTAAACTGTTGTTGGTAAAATTTTCAGGTTCGACTTATATTCATGAGCAATATTTCAAATAAGTTTTCACCTTGTAATATTTAATCCTTACTAAAAAAAAAATATGTAGTGAAGAAAATAGTAGGTTATCTCATCAAAACAAGTGACAGTGTGTTATGTGTATTCTATGTTGGAAAAGAAAGAGTGCATATGACTCTTGTTTATATATAAGAGCATCATGAAAATTTTTGGTCACACCTCAACCAGTCATTGACTTCTCAACACAGATATAAACAGGTGCCACATGTGGCTGAAAAATTGGCTCTACAACTTGTTAGATGGTGAGAAGGGGGATTTCTTGAGGCTGGCAACTGCTGGATTGAACTTTATCCTCTTATAAAATTATACTACAAACTATTAATGACTTGTTTTGGGAGTGTCAGGTTTTATGCATACAAAGTGTTACACAAATGTTACTTAATAAATCCAAAAGCTATAAGCCATAGTAGAAATTAACATACTATATCATATATACCGGAATAGATTATTATTTTATTATTTTACATGTTAGCATAAACTCTTTGACAGTCTTTCATTTATACTATTGTTTTCTTTTCTTGCCATGGTGTTATTTTCACCTTCTGTTCTCTGGGCCTTTCTCGGCTTTCTTTTACACCAATGCAGTTTGGATTTGAAACAGAATGTGGGATGAAGCTGTCCACTCGGTGAAAGACAGGGGACCCCAGTTATACATTTATATCACCTACAGAAATTTTATCAAAAGCAAAAATAGTGCGCATTGGAACTGAAGACATGAAGTAGATTGATAGGGAAGGACCAAATATGTTTTCAGAATTTTATACTGAAAATGTTTTTTCCTCATTTGCTCAAGAGAATTGTGTTGGTTATCATGATCTTTAAAAGATCTGTGGCAAACGTCTAGTCCATGACCATATTTTCTCAGAATGGAATTCGCTTCAGTTAAGATTTCATTGTAAATCTTTTTCTGGGAAATCATGTTTTAAAAATTTGAAAAAAAAAAATAGTATACTTTTTGAAAATTTTGAAATTGATTCAAATATAAGAGCATTTGTTGGTAAAATATTTAATAGGATGAATTTAATGACCTGGTTTGTAAAATTTTGTGAATTGAAACGACAAGTGAAATATTTTGTTTGGGTAAATATTTGTATTATCTATTAGGCAAGTAAAACCTTTTTTGCTCTCTGCACCTGATAACTTGGGCTTAATTGCTCATCTCTTGTTTTGAAAAACACTTTATTCAATCCTAAAAAGAGTCTTGTCACTTAATTGTTTTGATTTTTATAGTCTTCCATCCAGAGTTTCACCACTTACAAAGAAAAGGCCCCTCCTCTTCAAGAAATGATGCGCTTGGTAAGTATATTTCATACATTTCTCATCAATTGTTATTTGATTCATTCACTCTGCTTGTTTCAGTTTCTCATTCATTTAAGCATTTAGCAAAAAAATCTTATAAATCTCATAATTGACTTTTTTTTTTTTTTTATTTATTAATAAACCTGTAATATATGTAGAATTTAATCGGATATATTGAAACAAACTACAAAAAAGACCTTTTATTTATTTATTTATTTATTTATTTTATTTTTTTTTTTTTTTTATTTTTTTTTTTTTAAATATTTTTTCTTGAAATTTGATATGGAAAGCTATTTAATAAAAATTATCCACTCCTTTATGTTAACATTTGATGGTCCTGGATGTTAAGATTTAATTGTTAGATTAACAGAAATATCTGGTGTTGAAGTTCAATTAAAATATTGAGTCCTGTTGCATGTTAGGAATAATTATGTATTTAAATTTGTCAATTGAAATTTTCTCATAAGCTAAATAGAAAAGCAAAGAAAACCAAGACAACATAGCTCCTAATTGTTTGTTTGTATTTCAGATGGTATCTTCTGGTATTAGTTGCCACAAACACAGCTTTGTTCAGCTGCAGTTCCTTGAAACCGCTGTTCGCTATGATAAATTCTTTGTGGTAGAGCCAGAATACATTCCCAATGTTCTTGTAAGTTTATAATTTGAGCAATCCAGCTCATATTTTGTGTCATAACAAATGTTAATATCCACTTTCTTCAAGGTCAGAATATTCGCTTGTGTATTACACAAACAAATATTAAGTCATTTTGTTGTTGAAAGAACAGAAATCATTAATTTTTTTTTCTTTAATGTCTGTCTTGATCATTCAAGACTTCAGTTAACACAATGTTTCACTTGTAAGGTTGAAATCTTAGTTAACGCAAACTGTGTGTGTTATCAGCAATTGTAAAGCTGATGAATAGTCTGTGGTTGAATCCATGCCACTTGTAATGTTATTGACAATAGATGTCCAGTTATATCTATAGTCAGATTTTTATAATCACGTCAGTAATCTTTTGAGAATTGTAATACTTTGAATAGTACAATTCCTTGCAGCCAAACTAGTTATCAGATGCAATATGTTTGGCTACAAATTATGTTTCTACTATACATCATGTTATAACAACTTGTTAGTGTTACAAACTCAATAGAATTATGTGTGTGTAGTTGGTTTTTTTTTTTTTTTTTTTTTTTTTTTGTAGTTATCGAGTAGTAACTCTCCTATTTAACAGTGCTTGAAAAGTGACTAATGTCTCTTCTAACTTACTCTCTCATTCTCAAGCTGTCTATGCAAGCTAACACTTCTATACCATATATTCTGGTAGAATTAGGATTTGGTTATATAGTAGAAGTAACTTTTTTTTTTAATTGTCTGGAAGGTGTTTAGTTCTCAGCCTGATTTTAAAAAAGAAAAAAAGTTGAGCAAATTTTTAACTTTTCAGTATATCTGGTTTTAGCTGTTTCCATGGAAACAATGCAATAAAATTGCTGAAAAATGCAAAAAAAAACAAAAAACCTGAAACAATACATTGTGCTGCCATCAACATGCACTTGGTCTACCATCAATACTGTTGAAGTCATTAGAAATAAATTCACCTGAAACATCCCCAATAAAACTTGTGATCAGTCAAAAATTGACTGCAAGGCCTCTTGGGCATTATTCTTGAAATTTGATCTTCTATTGATGAAAAATCAATGTTTTTCAAAACATGTTGCAGCTGCATGGAAACAACCATGTGGCTCAGGTTGATTCAGTAGCATTTACTCTATGGACAATTGGTTTAGTTGTATAGAACTAAGTTTCCTAAAATAGTAACATGATTTCTTTCTTTTTAATTTTGAACATTTTATTAGTAAGTATCTACATCTTTTATTAAAACTGTTAAAAAATTGATTTTTGAACTGTGTAAGAAAAACTGCAAAAAATAAACTTCATTTTTTTTTTTCTTTTTTTTCTTTCACCCTCTTATTTGCAGATGGCTTTCCTTGATGAAAGGGGCCTGAGGAACAAAAACCTACAAGTTTGCAGTCGTGCTTCATATTTGTTTTCTCGATTTGTGAAAAGTTTGAAGTGAGTTAACTTTTCATGATTTGGAATCTTGCAATTAAAAACAACAATGTTGAGTTAATTGTAAATCTTCTAGCTATGTGTATAGCCCTCCACAATCTTTTTTCATATCTATTAGTCTTTCTTGTATATCACCTGAAGAAGGCCGGAGTGTACAATGGCCAAAACATCATGAATAGGGCAGTAAAGATGAGGACAACAATCTGAATGATGTAATTAGTGTACTCTCTTTGCCATAAATGATCTGAATTTGACTAAAACAAAAATTGTTGGAATTTAAATGAATTTAAAGAGCATAATCCTATTTTTGATTATATACAATTTTCTGAATCATCATGATCATAACAAATTTAAATTTTCTATTTGGAAGTGAGTATGTGCAGCTGGTGTAATGGATAGTGGCTCAGAATTAAAAATTAGAAAGCTTAGTTTGAATTCCTGTCAGGTCCATTACATTCACTTACACATCCCTGAGAAAAGTATGAATTCATCTCCTGCCCAGTTATGGGTTAAATAAGAACTTTATATCTGAAAAAATCATTCTCACCCCCAAAATTTTTAATATAATATTCACTCACAAAACAAAGAATTTGACTTACAATTGAAAATATATTTTGGCTTTAAATAACCCTACAAGGTGTTAAGCTGTAAAAAAAAAAAAAAAAACAACAAAAAAGTCAATCTATGGAAACGATTTGTCTTCATTATACCAATTACTAAATTATCTTTTTTATTTTTTTTATTTCTATGGTTACAATTACCAAATTTTTGAAGAGGTTTTCTTCTATCTTTACAGTAAATTTTAAGATAGAACTTTCATTTTCCATTCCAATGTGTTTTTGTTTTCCTTTCTTTGACTCCGTTCAGGCCGCACCTGCAGAATTTTCTGGAAGATATCTTGAAACGCATCACGGATCTGCTTGTCTTGCCACCTCCAGAAGCTGATTCTCAGACTCGTTTGTCTATGGATGATCGATTGTACTTGTATGAAACAGTTGGAATTCTCATTGTATCTAGTAATTTCCCACCAGATGTAAGTATATGTTGCAGATTTTTTTTTTAACTTATTCAGTTCATTACACACACACACATACATATATATATATATATATATATATATATATATATATATATATATATATATATATATATATAAAAAAATAATAATCCTGTACTTGTGTTATATGATGAGTGATTTAACAGTTCTTTGAAATACTTTTGATATAAGATTAAGTCAGAATTGAATGCTTAATCTATGACTGGATTAGGAATTTAGAGAGAGATTGTGGTTGTTAAGATTGGGTGAGAACACATCTTAACATTTAACATAGTCACAGGCTATGTATTAGAAATCATAAATTGAACTGGCTTATGACTCCAAGTAAGATAATATAAATGACCTGCAAATCCAAAAACTGAATTCTGTAATTATTCATCTAAAATGACATGATTGTTAAACAGTAAAATCTCCCCAAATAGGATTGAGTATTTCTGTATTCTCTGCTTTGCTGAATAAGCTGCCTTTGAGAATGATAAAGAGGAAGTAAAACCCAGAAGAGATAAGGGATTGATGCAATCACGCGTGAGAGTCTAATCGTCAGGCAACTGAAGAGGGCATATTGGAGAGTGAGGTATTACATTATAAACTATTCAGGGGTCATTATGTATCATTATAGATAATTTGGCTTTAAATTTAATATAGTTATCACTCTTATATTATAATGTTGTATATGACCAACCATATCTACAAAAAATCGACACATTTATACATATACAAAAATAATTCAAAATTCTTTTAAAAATATTGATGTTTGATGAATTGTACTAAGCTTTTCAATTTAGGATTAGTAAATACGGTGTGATGGATTAATTGTCCTCTAAATTATGTAAAAATGAAAATAATATTGGCATCTCATTTTAATAAATATATTTACCAAAATTACACAAAAAAATATGTTGAAATACTAAAGAGTAAATTTATTCAATAAAATTGCCACTGGCTTCAACTGCAACCTCAAGATGACTTCAGAATCTTAAGTTGGTGAATACTGCCACAATCCTTGCCTTCAGTTCATCTTTGGTGTTACAAGTAGTTTTGTTGGTCTCTTGCTCAACTGCATTCCACACAATCAAGGGGGGTTGCAGTCTGGCAAGTTAGGTGGCTAGATGTAAGGGGTGATGTGGTTGCAGAAACTGTCTAACAGCCATGACTGGGTTCTCCTGGTTGTATGGCATGTTGCAGAGTCCTGTTGCCAGATAAAGGGTCTTCCAGCAGCCACCCTCTTGACCCAGAGCAGAACTACTACTTCAATGCACTTGGTGTTGACCTCTGTGTTGAGTCAGGGACCCTGTGGGAAGATGAATGGAGGCACAACATCGCTATCACTAGTGATCACTCCAAACACCATCATGTTTACTGATATCATTCAACTTTTTCTGAATTTTCTGCACGGACCTTAGATTGACACTCAAACCCTCTGAAATGTTCATATTGACGTTTCGCACTTGAATGCCAAGTAGTACAGCATGCTGTTTCCAAATTTCTGATGGAGTGAATTGCACCATGGTGCTCTCATTTTCTCAGACAATGCCCAATTGACTCTACTATATGGTACAGTTGACAAAATTAAAAACAAACAACGCCCATGTGTGAAATTAAAAATATAAAATGGTAACAATTTACTAGTTGTACCCTGTATAGTTTTTACTTAATTTATTAAATTTTAGATATTATTTTAATTAAGATTTTAAATTAAAAAAAAAAAAAAAAAAAATGAAAGCCATTTGCATAAAAATTAATTATTCATTGAAAAAAATGGTGTCCTTAATATATCTTTATAAAAGCAATTAAAATCTTTTCTAATTAAATAATATTTTAGTTTTATTGAATATTTTATTTTACAAAATGATTTAAATTTTCCAAGGAATTCTGCTTTTAACTAATAGAAATATTAAAGGAGAGAAAATTTTATTTCTCAAAATTTCATAAAATTAAATGTGTGTGTGTGGTGGTGGGGTTAACAAAAAAAAAAAAAAAAATTCTAAAATAATTTCATTCATTTATTAATAAGTCCTGAAGGTTTCATTATAATCCAACAATTATTTGATTTTTGCACAAATTTCTATGTGGTTTTAACAGAGCAGACATTAAGACATGAATCTGTGGTCCCTCTTCTGACGCAAAAAAACAAGAATTTTAAACAAAATTTTGAATGGAGTAGAAAGGATTAAAAAAACTTAATAAAATAATAAAAAAATACTTTGGTCTTTCCTTTTAATAAAAACAAAGATTCTGACAAAAAAAATTTTTTTATCAATTGTGGGGTATTTTTTTCATCTTGATTTGCTTTTTTTCTCTCAATGAATTAGTGCAGGTACCATTTATTTATTTATTTATTTTATTTATTTATATACACACACACACACTCTCCAGGTTTACATTACTTTCTCTCTACTTTTTAATGCTGTTTATAAGTTCATCCTATTCAAATTTTGGCTTGACGTTTGTGTGTCCTTCATATGAAGCAGTTGCTTTTCTGATTATACTGCTAGAAATATTTGCTTTCTTTCTGGCATTTTTCTTGTGTGTCATATCCAGAATTTGTACAGGTCCTGGAAAATTGTCAGTGCCTTTTCCAGGTCTTGAAAAGTCTTGGAAGTTTCTAAATTAGACTGCTTACACATTTCTCAATTCATAGAATTAAAATGCCAAATCCCAGAAATCCATCTTTTTTTTTTTTTTTAACAAGCTAAAGTTGTCCTTTAAGAAAAATGTTTCTTTAGTCATCAGTAATATTTGGCAATTAGTTTGAATTGTGATTTGGTTCCTTGATTAGAATGAGTTCATGACCTTGTAGTTACTTCTGTATTTTCTTGTCTAGGTGACGAGAAAGAAAGTGAGAAAAAATATAAAGGCATGTCTTCTAGCTGCTATCCTTACTCAACAAGAAAATAGGAAAGGTTTCAGAGTAAACATCTCCGTCAATTAATTCACACTCATTGAATTTGTAGTTGAAACGAAAATAGTAACTTACAGTAAGAAAATACATTTTAGTACAATCTCAAAAAAATTTCAGGCTTTTTTTTTTTTTTTTAATTTGAACAATTGAAGAAATTTAATTTACGTGTCAATTTCAAAAGTAAAAAGTCCTTTTGATCTCTAGTCAGCTGGTGGGTGAGTTCATGTTCAAAAAGTAGATAATTTACATGTTCCATTCCATCTCGATGTGTATCTGTGTAAACTATGTTTGTCTAAATTGCTGCCAAAAGTAGCCAGTGTGAGAATAAAGTTTGCAGGCTAATGATGACCTGTATCTAGCTTTTGTTGTAAGTGGAAAAAAAAAAATGATGAAATATTAAAATTTATTTAGCTTTTATTGCTTGGCTTTAAATTAAAAGTTTGATCCCTTTACTTTAGTATTTCTGCCATAGATGGCTAGAAAATCTATAAACATGTGAATTACTCCTAGACATTTGGCCAGATGTCATCAAATTTGTGAATTTAATTAAAAATACAGAAAAATGTCTCCAGACCAAGTCCTCCTGTGGTGCTGCTAAACATGAATGACATTTTATTTCTAATGAAACTGGAGATTTTTGTGCCTGTTTTGAAAGACCTTGAACCATTTCTGATACCCTCTTGTAAGGTCACTTGCCTGGCTGAACTCAGGATTCACTTGTGAAAAAAAAAATTGCCACAGAAGACAATCTAAAAAGATGTCTTTTCCACATGGAAACAAAATCAAGTCAGCAAGTCTGATTGTGATGACATCATCAATCAGTACAAAGTTTGAGGAGGAGGCTGCTGGAAATATTGCTTTCAAGAATTTCAGCAAGCATGAAGACTGTCTGGACACTTTGTTCTACTCTTTTAACAAAGTACCAAAGAATATTAAAAACTGGAAAGTTGTTTGCAGATTGCTGGTACTCTCTCATGGACAGCCTGAAAGATCTGCAAAGGACAAGTCCATAAAGATATTATAATTGGAATAGGAAATGAACGCTAAATTAGATGAACTGAAAAAATGTTAACATCATTGTGTTCTGTGCCGTGTGCAACAAAAGCCATGAGTAGTAGGGGTAATTAAAATATGTATTTTTTTTTTTTTTTGTGAAAATTTTTATTTGTAGTTTTCTTCATTAAAACCATTATACCTCACAGAAAATGTGCAGCAATCAAGAATTTTTGTGATGTTCACAAACCATGAATAGTCTAGATAGCTGAAATGAGTAGCAGTAAGAATTAAAGTGTGTAATTCAACATTTTCAAGTGTAGTAGAACTCTAAACTGTAGAATGCTACACAAAATGTGTAACATAACCAGGTCTGCATTGTTGTGTTTTAGCTTTCAACATTTTTTTTTTTTGTGTATGTGTGTACAATGATACTTACTTTTAAATTTTTTTTTTTTTATTTAGCGCAAACAGATGCTCATCCGAGAGTTGTTACTTCCACTTGTGAGCCAATTTAAGACTTGTCTTACCAAACTCTGCACGGATTGTGAAGAAGAGGACCAAGACCTTTATGCTTACCGTATTAATGATGTAATTAGTTTTGCCAGGCAAGTCATTTTCTTTTCTTTTCTATTTTTTTTTTTTTTTTTTATAATTGAGTCATTAATGTATTATTGAAACCATTGCATCCAATGAACAATGGCTGTCTCATTATTGAGGGTTTAGATGTTCCTTAAATTGCTTTCTGTCAAAGATTTCTGAAAAATACATTTTTAACTATTTAGTGATTAAAAATGTTACTAATGTTTGTTCATTTGTTGTCTATAGAATAAATTGTTTAGTAATGTTTTAAGAAATAACTATTTCCTTTAAAAAATCACTTTGAAAAATTAAAATTATCAAAATATTTCAATAATACTGCTAAAAAGCTCAAAGGTAATATACTTACAAAATTTTATTTCACTTTTAACTACTTTTTGTGTTTAATAAGTTGCCATGGTTATGTTTCTGTTTGCATGCATCCTTTTGTAACTCAAGAACAGTTTGAATATTGAGTATACTTGACACTTTCAGTTTTAGCTTATAGCTTTAATTTTTTAACAACAAAACATTGTTTGTCTATATTTCTGAGATGAGGTATTATTTACATTATTCGGACTATTGTCCTCATCTTTGTCGCCATATTTATCACAACGTTTCGGCTGTTGTATGCTCTGGCCTTTAGGTGGTTGGAATTTCAAACTGAACCCTTTATTTCGCTCACTGTGGTAGACTGTTCTAGTTCCACGTGCCATGTTTGATGGATGTCAGTTATCAGTTATCTGCTAATTTCCCTCTGAAAGTTCTCCACTGCCTTAACCAGGTATTAAACTCACACTCTTTGGGTCCTGTCACTGGATTTAACCAACGCCTTGCTCAGGCCGATTGTTAGTTGCCAAGGCTGTGTGCCACCCTCTGAGTCGCTTCCTTGTAGATATAATTGACCCATTGATCGGAAAGTCTCCTTCATATGTCCGAAACTCCGCCCACTTCGTGGAAATAATCAAAGATGCTCCCATCCTATCCAACCAGATGGTGAGCTTGGACGTGGTGAGTTTGTTCACCAAGGTACCCACAGAGGAGACACTCAGTAGTCAGAGACAGATTGGCCTCTGACTCTTTCTTAGAAGAACGGACCAGTATTCCAATAGATATACTGATGGAGATGTTGACTTTCTGTACACAAACAACATACTTCGGAATGAGATCGCACATATATCAACAGGATGAGGGCTTAGCAATGGGCTCGCCATTATCACCAGCAATGGCGAATATATACATGGATTACTTTGAGGAAATGGCATTAGAATCTATATCTCTAAAGCCAACTATATGGTTAAGGTACGTAGATGACACCTTCATACTCTGGCCACACCAGGAAGATGTTTAGGTTCTACTGGACCATGTGAACTCAATAAGACCTTCAATACAGTTCACAATGGAGAAAGAGAGTAACAACACACTCTCATTCCTGGATGTTCTAATATCTCTAACAGAACATGGGTTTAAGACATCTGTATACCGTAAACCGACATTCACTGGACAGTACCTCAATTTCAACTCCCACCATCCATACAGCATAAAGAAAGGGATCGTCCGTTGCTTACAACACCGAGCAAAAGTCATAAGTAGCGACCCAGATAAAGACGTTAGATAAAGAATTGGTCAGTATAAGTAATACCCTACAACGTAACAACTACCCTGGGTACATGGCAGCAGCCCCCCAAAACTGGGATAGGCGGGTAAAAGAGGAGGAGGACAACAACACTCAGAAAACAGTCTGCCTGCCTTATGTGAAGAGGTTATCAGAGAAAATACAAAGGATCTGCGGTCCGTATAACATCAGGACAACCTTCAAAAGCTTGACAACACTTCGCAGATATCTCTCCTGAGTGAGACCCCCTATAGAGGAGAACATGACTAAAGACTGTGTACGCTATCCCGTGCAACTGCAGAAAGGAATATAAAGGAGAGACAGGCCGCCCCCTCAAGGTAAGGCTTCAAGAACACCAGAAAGCTGTAACACGAGGGAAAGTAGAAAAATCAGGCGTGGCTGACCACATATGGAGAGAGAAGGGAGATCACCGTCCTCTGTGGGACCATGTTGAGATCATAGACAAGGAACACCATTGGAAAATTAAAAACTTAAGGAATCAGCACATATGCTAGGCCACAAAATCTCCTGAGCCGACCAAGCATAGAAATAAATACAATATGGGAACCAGTAATAAGGAGTGCCAGAGAAAAGCAATGATAACAACAAAGTTGCAATATGAGCTCTGGTAAAAACATGCAATGATAACAGCAAAAATTGCAATATGAGCACTGGTAAAAATGGTTGCTGAAGACATTAGGTTTATAATAGCCAGAAATTCATACCCAGATGTCCTCAAGGACACATGGCACAGTGGATAAAGGTGTTGGTTAGATCCAGTGAAAAGCCAGTGACAGGACCCAAAGAGTTCAGTACGCGGTTAAGGCAGTGAAATTAGCAGGAGATAACCATCAAACATGGCATGTGGAACTAGAACAGTCTACCCCAGTGAGCGAAATAAAGGGTTCAGTTCGAAATTCCAACCACCTGTACAACGGCCGAAACGTTGTGATAAATATGGCGACAAAGATGAGGACAATAGTCCGAATAATGTAAAAAATTGTTTGTACAGAAAACATCTGATTTGGGACTTTCTTGTTTATGAAAAATGACAAAAATAGAACTCTTTATGTGCTCATCTCTGAAATGCTTTCTGCAAACAATATTGCCAGCCTAATCTTTTGATTTTTGTAAAATGAAGGAATGGCAGGATTAGACAAATCCTTATTTATAACCATGATCTCATTAACTGTGGAATATTTAGATGCAGTTATGAGTAAGAGCATTTTGGCACATATTTGTTTCATATTGGATTCTTTTTAATATTTAAAAATGCTTTTGTTTATCTGAATGTGAATACTTTAAGTAATTGTGGTGCATTAAATTCATTTTTTTTTTTTTTTTTTTTTTTTTTTTTTTTTTTTTTCAGTCGAATCAGCAAGGGATTTTCAAACCAAGTGACAATGAAGCAAATTGGCTGTGTGGAAGCATTTACTGAAACTCTTCAGATTTTCCTGCAGGGATTCAAATGTCAAGTTCAGCGGCATGTATTGCGTGCTGCAATACGCCAATATCTACATCGCATGGTGGTCTGCCTGGAAGAAGAAATTCTTCCTTTCATTCCTGTAGCCCTTGAGAATTTGGTACAGGAACCTGATGCCAAAGAGCTGCATGATTTCATTCCACTGATGACTCAACTTATAATGAAATTTAAGGTCAGTTTTTGTTTGTCCACTCACAACATTATCTTTTTGATATTGTTATCTAAGCCTGATAAGAAAAGCAAGAACAAATCCAACAAAAGGCCAATCTTGTTTTCTAATTAATACATACTTCAAAAATGAATAAATTGATACTTGTATGACCTTTTTAAATATGTTAATTTGACAAAAGAAAACTATCCTTATTGTGCAAATGACATAGTTATATTGATTATAGTTTTAACAGTTTGATGAAATCAGATTTCTTAATACATAATTAGTTGGGATTAAGATTATTGGAGATTCCCATCATTATAATAAGTTAAAATACTCAAGTATGATAGCCATTGCTGGTTGAGATTTATTCCAAAGCCTCTCTTCTTAACTGTTAACTGCGAATGTTATCCATGGATATATTTTGGCAATTTTCATTACTTGTTTTGCCTCAAAATTGCCAATTTTCTATTTTCTGGAAGTGGACATATGCAGATTTTGAATGGAAGATGCAATTTGTAAAGAATTAATCGATTAACATTTTTATTCGTTTGAAGTATTATTACTTCAAACGAATAAAAATATTAATCGATTAATTAAATATTAAGCTTAACATAGTTGGGTACAAGGTTCGAATAAAGGAGCACCTAATTAACGTGATACACTGAATTGCTAGATTGGGCTACACTTGAAAATCCATGTAAAACTAAATTTTGAACCGGTTTTTACAAGAGTACCCCAACTTAGTCAACCTGATTTTAAAAATAGGCTAAAGAGTTAAAAGTAATAAAATTTTAAATTTGGTAGTAGTAGACTTTGAAAAGTTGTCAAATCTGGCAAAGCAAATGACCTGCAAGATAATTCTGCTTTGTTGACAGTACTCTGTTAAATTGCCTAAGAAAAAGCAAATGTTCATATTTTATGTCTTGATCTCTTCTCATTCCCAGCAGCAGGATCATGCTTATCATTTTTTTTTCTTTCCTGATTTACACTGCTGACTTTATAAATGCAATAATATTTAACTTGTTCAATGAATTCGGTTTAATACTTTGTCTTATTTTAAATTTTTAGAAAACTATTGGTCCATTTCTTCGAGAAGTGTTTATGCCATTTGTCCAAACAATTTATGGTGTGTTGTCAACTCCCCAAGATGAACATGACCAGGTGACTGCGAGTGAAAAGCGTATGCTTCAGAGGAGTTACTTTCAGTTTATTGCTTGCATTGTCACAAATAATGTCTTTGATGTCCTCAGGGACCAAAGTAAGTGCAGTTTTTTTTTTTTTTTTTTTTTTTTCTCTCTCTCAATTTAGAATAACTTATTTTTGTTGGTGATGTATTTAACAGATGGAATATATAATGCAAAGAAATTTTCTCAAATCTTGCTTCTATTCATTTTAAATTATCACAGTTTCTATATTTGTGGGTATATAAGCATTTGTGACATTGATTTGTTAATATTTATAAGTGGTATCATGCTTTATTCATCAAAGGAAGCATTTAACAAAAATTATACTGAGGGACACTTTTGCCTTTTGATGTTCTTTTTAAACTTGTTAAATTAATTTTCTGTTTGTATTAAAGATGTTTTGTGTCCAGTGCATTTGTACTGCATTTAGAAATTGAAGTCAAATTAATGGAACAAAGTTTTGAGTTAACTTCTAATGTAGTTCTTTATTAATGCCTATTTTTCTGAATCTATAAAAGGAGGAAGAGCATCTTTTTATCATTAAATTTTGACTACATTCTTTCACGAACTAAAGCACAAGGCAGTATAACTTTGCCCAACTATTTCAAAAACCATAAATTACCAAACAATTTTCTAAACTGCCCTTCCTCCACCTTAATGAATTTGTGGTTTAATTTTCTTTAATATTAAAACCAAAGAAATTTGCTTATTTTGAGGCTGTAAAATAAGCAAAAAATTTGATATAGTCATTACTTTCATTGACAAATGACTAAAATGTATTTTATATGTAAAGTTGAAAAATAAATGTTCTTTTTCCAATATGGATATAAGTAAAATTCTGTATAAATAAATGTCATTGTAATTTGTTCTGTCAGATGCCCAAAATTTACAGCAAGTCCTGATGACCATTGTCCAAGGGGCCTGTGATAATCCCGATCCCCAGGTAAATTTTCAATTTGTTCTTTATTTCTTTCCTTATGTAGTTAAAACAAATATTCTTTATATTCTTATTAAAAAAAAACAAAAAAACTTTCATTTCTCATTTACTTACTGCCGATAATATTTCAGACCCAGAAAATTTGTTTTGGAATTTTAAAGAAATTGGTTGAAGTATGGGGTAAGTGCTTTTTAAATTCTACTTTTTGATTTATTTTTGTATCCGTGGAGTAAATATAATTAAAATATTTGCACATGCACTTAGAAAATGTACAATATTTTACATTATTCTTGTTAACATAGAATAATTTAACATTTTTATTTGAAAATGATGTTCATATTTAACCACTGTTCAATGTTAGGATATTTTTCTTAAGATAATCTGAAATTTTATTTAAAAAAGCAAAACAATTGCTTGGCCCAATTGCTGTACTTTGGAGAATTTTCATTAAATATTGAAATCCTCAAAAAAAACTTTTTTTTTTTTTTTTTTTTATAAAGATGTGATGTGTCATTGCTTTTGGGCTTACATTTAATATGGTCTATTTTTTAAATTGTTTACTTATTTTTTGAATTGTGTGTATCTGTTTGCCATTGTTGCTTTTTTTTTTATAGGAGGTGGTGATGGGGAAATGGGAGGCTTTAAAGAGTTTATTTATCAAAGTGTTGTCCCTGCCTGTATTCTGGCACCCTTAAAACCAAGTTTTGACCTTAATGATGCTCAGACTGTGATAGTAAGTAATATTGCTTTATGTAAAGATTTAAACAGATTGAAATTGATTACTATTATGTTACAATTTGTCAGTTAATTTATTAATTATAAGAATTTGCAATTTGTGACTTTATCTTTTGTTGATAATGATTCATAGCAATTGTCTTAATCAATTTGTATGAAAACTATTAAAAATAGTTTTCAGAAAATGCAATTCTGAATGTTTTTATTAATCTGCTATACTGCTGTTATTTTTTATCAACCTGTTTTGAAAAGTTACAATTTGCAGACATCTTTATTTTCATATTGTAATAATTCATGAATAAGCTGAAAAAACAATTTAGTTATTTTGTCATGTTTATTATTATTTTTTGATTTTTAGGCTTTAGGTGAATGTGCCCAATGCCTCAAATGTATACTTGACAAGAGGGTAAGTATAAAATTAAATTTATCATCAGTTAACATGCAGATGTGCTTGTCTGTTGGATAACAGTGAAATGTTTAGGTACTTAAACCACTAACTTGGAACCATATAAATAGATAAGGGTCAATTTATGAAATTTTAAACCAAGATGCAGATATTTACTCTCATTTTGATTTTAGAATATGAAAAATGACATGATTTTCAATTGTTATTAAAAATACAATTTGTATATTGAAGGTATAAAAGTAAATGACATTCCAAATACTTATTGGTCATTTGTAAGATTTGCTCTTATATTTAGCATATGGAAGTGTCAGTTGACTAATTTGGATTCAGAAATATTTCTAGTGAAATTATTGATTTCTTAATATTGAAGAGATTGCCGCCATTTGGATCAAGAATTTAAATATTGGAATAAGTTAGAATTGATTTCTGTGTACTTCCAATGTCTTGCATGCTATTCTTGTCTTTTCACTTTTGGCAAATGCGATTATTTTTCTAGCGTTCACAACTGTTGATATAAATATTTTTTTTTTTTCATAGGGTGAAGAGGTCATCAATTTTCTACAAAACAATTACCTTCCCAAACTGCAATTATCTCCAGAACTCATTGAAGTAAGAATATTTTTTTCTTTTCTCCTTTAAAATTTATCATAATTCCTACAACTTTTTTTTTTTTTTTTTTTTTTACATTTTGTATATATTCAAATTGCTTTTACTTTGCATATTTTTCAAATATAGCAGAAAAATGTTCTTGAATATATTTCTTCTTTTTACTTTGCATATTTTTCAAATATATTAAGGCCCTAAAATGGTGAAAAATGTTCTTGAATATATTTCTTCTTGCACAATAAATGAAAAGATCAATTACATCTGAAAAAAGTACCTGTTGGTCATGGAAAAAAATATATTAAGGCCTGAATTCAAAAATGGTGTTGTCTGGATTAGGGACCCCCAGTTGACTATTTAGGATAATTACCTTGATCGTATGTGGAAAAGGTAGACTGTACACATCTCAATTCCTGAGAAGCATGAATGAAAAAACCAACAACTCAAGTTTGTTTTAAACAATTTAATTTAAAAAGTGTCTGAATCTGTTAGCTTAACCACTTCAGAGAGCTCTTATAATTTTGTATTTTTTCAATTGTAATCTTTTGGGTTGTAGAAAACCTGTTATAAAGTATATAGGTTGAGACTGGAAACCAATATCTCAATTGAAAATTGACCTCTGTTCACTTCCAGTGAATGTTGTTTTCAGTAGATTATTCTATTTGTTGCCTCTAAGAATGTTGATGGTCATGGAAAAAAACAAATTCTAACTTTGCAATTTTGGGAATTTGAAGGCTTTGTCCTGTCATTTGATGTAAAAAATTATTTTGTATTACATAGCATTCAATGGGAAAAATCTGTTCTTGAAATAAATACTATATTGGATATCCAAAAATAGGGACCCCCCCCATTTGTTGTTTCATATTTAGGATAATGAAAAACCTTGATGAAGTTGTGACAGTAACTATGGTTTAATAACAAAAAAAACCTGCTTGACAAATGTTTAAACTTGTATTTCTAAGCCTTATTTTTTTTCAATTTCAGCATCCATTGATGGATTCAAAAAGCTTTTAAACATTTTTTGGATGCTTGCCAATTCCTGAGAAAATACAGTGTAACCCGGATATAGGCATTCCCAATAGAGCCTTTTAATTTAAAATACCCCGGATATGGGGATTTTTCTCTGGTCCCAAAAGCCTGTGTTAATGTATATAAAATAACCAACAACTCAAAAGTTTGTTTTAAAAAATTTAATATAAAAAAGTGTCTGTCCCAAATCTGTTAATGTATATAAAATAACCAAACCCGGATATCAGAGATTTTGTCTGGTCTTATAATGTATTTTGTATTTTTTTCAGAGCCTTGTTAATCTTTGACCAAACCCGGATATAATAATTTTGTCTGGTCCCAAATTAGAGAACAATTGTTATAAAATTTTTGTCTGGTTTTTGGTATAAAATACCAAACCCGGATATAGATTGTCTGGTCCCAAATTTTGCCTGGATATAAAAAAAAAATAAGAATTTTATCTGGTCCCAAAATTGAAAATAGACCAAACCTCTGTTCAAATTTGTGTTAATGTATATAAAATGATTGATTTTTCTGGTCCCAAATAGAGCCTGTGTTATTCTAAAATCGGATATTTTTTTTCTGTTTATCTTGCCGGATCTAAGAATTTAATTGTTTGAGCCTGTTAAATAATAAATAGACCAAACCCTAATTTTGTCTGGTCCCAATTTGTGTTAATGGTTGACCAAACCCGGATTTGATTTTTTTTGTCCTGTCATTTGACCAAATGATAAAAATTAGAGCCTGTTTTGTATTACAGATATAGCGGATTTGATTTCCCAAATTTGTGCTAGAAAATCGGATATGATTTTCTCTGGTCCTTTGAGTTCTTGTATAAAATAAACCTAAGAGAAACCCGGATATATTTCTCTATCATTAGCCTGTGTTAATATATAAAAATGCATGCAAAATAGAGCCTTGAGTAGACCAAACCCGGATATAAGAGAGATTTTCTCTGGTTTTCCATATTGACCAAACAGATTGATGATATGAACACACATGCATATATAAACATACAGATGTGATATAAAAGATTTTGTCTGGTCCCAAAAACTGAAGTTGTGACAAACCCGGATATAACTATGTTTGTTTAACCAAACCCAGATATAAAAAATAACTTTTTTTCCCAAATTATAGCCTGTGTTGCATAAAATAGGTAAACCCGGATATAAAAATTTTGTTTAAAGCCTGTGTTTGTATTAGACCAAACCCAGATATAAAGAGGATTATTTTTTTCATTTAGAGCCTGTGTTAATTTTAGACCAAAAGATATAAGAGAAACCCGGATATGATGGATTCAAATTAAAAGCTTTTAAACATTTTTTGAAGGTGTGTTAAGTAATAAAATGCCATAATCCATATAAGAGAGAAAATACAGTGTAAATAGGATATAACCAAACCCGGAAGATTTTCTCTGGTCCCAAATTAGAGCCTGTGTTAATGTATATAAAATACCAAACCCAATATAAGAGAAACCCGGATATAAGAAACCGGATATAAGAGGATTTTGTCTGGTCCCAAATAATGTATATAAAATAGACCAAACCCGGATATAGAGAAACCCGGATATAAGAGAGATTTTCTCTGGTCCCAAATTAGAGCCTGTGTTAATGTATATAAAAAAATACCCGGATAAAAGACCAAACCCGGATATAAGAGATTTTGTCTGGTCCCAAATTAGAGCCTGTGTTAATGTATATAAAATAGACCAAACCCCGATATAAGAGAAACCCGGATATAAGAGAGATTTTGTCTGGTCCCAAATTAGAGCCTCCAGATATAAGAGAAACCCGGATATAAGAGAGATTTTGTCTAGTCCCAAATTAGAGCCTGTGTTAATGTATATAAAATAGACCAAACCCGGATATAGAGATTTTGTCTGGTCCCAAATTAGAGCCTGTGTTAATGTATATAAAATAGACCAAACCCAATATATTTGAACATTTTGTTTCCCAATTAGAGCCTGTGTTTTTATAAAATATATAAGAGAAACCCATTTTGTTTCCCAAAAAGCCCTATTAAAAAACAACCCTGATATAAAGATTTTCTCTGGTCCCCAAATTAGAGCCTGTGTTAATTTATAAAATAGACCAAACCTAATATTTATTTTTCTGGTCCCAAATGAGCCTATAATAGACCAAACTTAATCAAACTCCTAGATTACTTATTTATTTATAAAATATAAAAGATTTTTTCTGGTCCCAATTTATTTAATGTTTTGATGAATGTGTTCGGATTTTTGTATATAAAAAATTAAAGATTTATGCAAATAAAGATAAATTTTCTGGTCCCAAATTAGAGCCAATTATTTTCATTTGTATTTTCGGATATAAAAAAAAAAGACCAAACCCGGATATAAGAGAAACCCGGATTTGATGAATATATAAAATAGACCAAACGGATATAGAGAGTTAGTCCCAAATTAGAGCCTGTGTTAATGTATATAAAATAGACCAAACCGGATATAAGAGATTTTCTCTGGTCCCAAATTAGAGCCTGTGTTAATGTATATTAGACCAAAGTTAGAATACTGGGATTTGAACATATTTTTTCAATCTGTTTTATAGGTTAATTTTAAAAGATAAAACAACTGATAATGGAATTTTGAATTTTATTTTCTGCAAATGACTATAGTGGAACTTAATCAAACTCTAGATTACTTATTTATTTATAAAAAAGATTTTGGCAAATATTTATTTTGATGAATGTGTTCATTTTTTAAAGATTTATGCAGTAAAGATAAATTTTCAGGTGCAATTATTTTCATTTGTATTTTCAAAAAAAAAAATCTATTTGATGAATATTATGCAACAGTTATAAGTGTGGTTAGTTAGAATGGGATTAGCTTCATAGGTTAATATTAAGATAACAGATAATGGAAATTTGAATTTTGCTGGTAGACAAGCAATATTGTAGGGTTTATTTTTAAACACTTGCTATTTTAAACAGAAACTTGTGTTGACAAGAAACCAATCGTTTGAATGCTTACCAAAAGTTAAAAACCCAGAGGAAAGTGTCTGCCTAAAGAAAATGGAAAAAAAAAAAAATGACATTTCTTAGCTGACCATGTGTTATGAAAGTTGGAAGATTAAAATGTTTGTTATAAAATGACTATAAACAGTTCAAACAGTACTTTCTGATAAATTGGTTAAATGTTGATAATTTTGCTGGAAAAAGCCAGTGTGAAACTAGATAAATAAATTAAAATTAAATTTCTTTGTTGATGAAACCTGGCATTTACTTGAGGCTGAGGGTTACAACTGGAGGCAAATGTCATTATTTTACTGGGAGTGACAATTTTTACTTACTGTTTTTTTTTTTTTGTTTTTGTTTTTTTTTTCTTCTTCTGGTAATTCATTGCTGTCAATGCAAAGAAAAAACATAATTAATTTGGATCAAAAATTTACTCTTTTACATCTTAGTATATTTTTTCTGAAGTCTTAGCATTCATTTGGAACTTGGAATACAAAGGTGTACGAAACGTTATGCGTTTTAATCTAACCAGATAATGAGAATTGGTCAAAGATGGAAGTGCTATAAGAGTGCTAGTAAGTTTTTCATCCAATGAGAACAGGAAACTAGAAGCGGATTTAAATGGGACAAGATTGGAAAATGATATTTGGAGTTTTTCATAATCAATATTAACCCTACCCAAGACATACTGGATTACTTCACAATATAAGCAAGCTGATTTTAGTCCTGAGACCTTTGCAGTCCAGTTACCAGTGAATTTATTGCAAGTTGATATATCCACCATCTTTACCACCCCTTTGCAAGATAACACCTGCTACGAATTATTCAACTGAAGATTTTCCTCTCTTGAAATTATCCATTATCAAATTAGTGATTTAATGAGTGTTGGAGACTAACATAGTCTGCTGGCATGAGATCAGTTCCCTGATTGATTTGTTGAACCATTTACCAGTCACTAACATGAGGGCATTGTTATTGCTTTTGTGTTGTGCTATGAATGATGTCATTATCTAAGAACTTAATTG